GAACTCCTGGACTCAAGTGATCCTCTTGCCTCAGCCTCCACAGTAGCTAGAATTACAGGCGTCTGCCACTGCTCTTGGCTCAGGGAGTGTATGTCACACAATCAGTCAGCGGTCTGCTCAGTTAGAGTCCATGCGCTTAGCCATGGTGCCTTCAAATGACTCCACCAGGGCCACCCCAGTACTTCCTGGGCAGACCAGACCATCCAGGGTGGGCAGGTTGTGCTTTCCTGCGTGGTGGGAGAGGACATGGCATGAAGCTTTGTGTAAATCTGTGCAGCCTCTGCCGTTGTAAATCACTGGGCCACCAGGACAGACTACCCCCATCCCCTACCAAAAACTAGAAGAACGGATGGGTGGAGTCGCATCCTTCCTCTGTAGGCATCTGACCACCCACTCCCATTATGGAGCATTTCCTCAGGACCAGGGCGGTGCGGAGCCCTTTGCATAGCTCACTGAATTGGTGCAACCCTGGGGCTGGGGACTACCGTCATCTCCACCAGCCCAGCAAAAAGGGAGGAGGGTACAGCCAAGGTCCAGCTCCAGTATATGGAGCACACTGGGGTGCCATGAAGATAGCCGTCCAGCCTCTAGAGGCTGACAGTCCTGCCCTGACACCCTGGTTTGTTTTCAGACTCTGGCCTCCCCTCTTAGTGCCCATCTGAAGACTTCAGCCTTCGGTCTTCTTCCATCAGCATGCCGTCTCCCCTGTGCCTCAGTCTCCCTCTCTGGAGTATCTGCTGGTGCCATAGTTTGGTTTTATTGTTCTCTGAGACAGGGTATCACTTTGTTGCCCAGGCTGGAATGCACTGGTGCAGTCATGGCTCACTGCAGCCTTGACCTTCTGGGCTCAAGCCATCCTCTCACCTCAGGCTCCTGCAACTCCAGTATCTGGACTACACGTACATGCCACCATTTCCAGCTAATTTTATTTTTTTTATTGTTTATTTATTTATTTATTTAATTTATTTTTAGATAGAGTCTCACTCTTGTCACCCAGGCTGGAGTGCAATGGCACCATCTCGGATCACTGTAACCTCTGCCTCTCAGGTTCAAGCCATTCTCCTGCCTCAGCCTCCCAAGTAGCTGGGATTACAGGTACCTACCATCATGCACGGCTATTTTTTGTATTTTTAGTAGAGACAGGGTTTCACCACGTTGGCCAGGCTGGTCTCGACCTCCTGACCTCAGGTGATCCGCCCTCCTTGGCCTCCCAAGGTGCTGGGATTATAGGCGTGAGCCACCATGCCCAGCCTTCCTGGCTGATTTTACAATTTTTCAGAGACAGGGGTTTTGCCTAGGCTGGTCTCGAACCCCTGGCCTTAAGTAATCCTCCTACCTCAGCCTCCCAAAGTACTGGGATTACAGGCATGAGCCGCTGCACATTGCCACAGTTTGATTTTAAAATCCACTTTAAGGTACAATTAGTTCTCCCCAGCTCCTCTTTTCCCCATCCTCATAAAGCGTAGTCACTTCCCTTTCTCCCACTTCTCACCTTCCTAGGTTTTGTTTTTCTCTCTTACCAAGTTTTGAGTATGTAATACATCCCAGATCAGTGCTGGAACCCCTTGTGTGAGTTAACAGCTTTTCATGTGGCGTTCTGCAGCCTTCTTACAGATAAGGAAATTCAGAGAGATGAAGTGTTTTTGCAGAGCCACACGATGAGCTAAGAAATTGGAACCCAGGGCATTTGAACTCCAGAGCCAGGGAACTTAACCGCCCATTCATGCATTCACTCAGGAATTCCCTCTTGAGTGCCTGTTGTGAAGGCAACCTGGACGCTGTCTCTGCCTTCCTGGGATTGTGGTGTGTGTAGGAGAGAGACACGAAACAAAAGAATCTTCTAAGTCAGTTTCTGGCTTGCTGGGTACTCAGAAGGGGGAAGCGATGTGCTGCAAGAGGCCGGCTGCTTCCTCCTCACAAGGGGAGGCCTATGGTGACATTGCCAGGCCTGAATCTGCCCTGCCATTGGGAGTGTAATTTCCTCACGACTACAAATGCAAATAAACACACACACTGAACATGCTACCCCGCTGGAACTGTTGACGGCTTGTTCACTGCAGTTAAAGGAAGATGGAGGAACACATTTGAGCACCCATGTGTGAGATCCAGCTCGTGGCAAACCCCGCCCTTCTTTAACGTCTGTGGGAAGTGAACCTCGGAGGAATCCCGGAAGTAGTGGGAAGAAAAGTCGCAGATATTTGAAAATCAGGCTGCAGGGGTAGTTGGGGTGAGGAGCATGGACGTCTATGAGCCTGAATCTCAGCCTCGCCCAGGTTAGAAGCCCAGTCCTGATGTAATTTTTTTTTTTTTGAGACAGGGTCTCACTTTGTCCCCTAGGCTGGAGTGTGGTGGCACACTCTCAGCTCACTACAGCCTCGTCCTTCCAGGTTCAAGCATTCCTCCTGCCTCAGCCTCCCAAGTAGCTGGGACCACAGGTGTGTGTCACCATACCTTTCTAATGTTTGTATTTTTTGTAGAGACCAGGTTTCTCACTGTTGCCCAGGCTGGTCTCAAACTCCTGAGCTCATGTGATCCTCCTGCCTTGGCCTTCCAAAGTGCCAGGATTACAGGCGTAAGCCACTGTGCCCAGCCCAATTTTTTTTTTTTTTTTTAAATTTGTGGTCTGGTACAGGTTATTTTACCTACCCAGGCCTCAGTTTCCTCATCTACTCAAGGGCAATGGTAGATAATCCCCCTCACAAATTCCCCGGGGAGTCAGTAGGCTTGTGCATGCCAGACACAGCTGGCTTACAACAGGTGCTTCATAAGGGGGAGCTGTCGCAACGTCTTGGCAACTTCTAGGCTGCCTAGCTCCAGAGCTAAGAGTCCCAGTGAGTTCATATCCCTTTGAGCATTTATAGGCTTCTCACAGGTCCCCTGGACTTTTTCAGCCACTCCTCATCTGACCTGAGGAGGTGTGATGTCCTTGCAGGACTCCTCCAGCCCCTCTGAACTTTTCTTTTGTTTGAGACAGCATCTTGCTCTGTTGCCCAGGCTGGAGTGCAGTGGTGTGATCAAGGCTTACTGCAACCTCCACCTCCTGGGCTCAAGCGAGTCTTCCACCTCAGCCTTCCAAGCAGCTGGAACTACAGGTGTATGTTACCATGCCTGGATAATGTTTAAAATTTTTTGTAGAGATATGATCTCAGGCCAGTCTTGAACTCCTGGGCTCAAGTAATTGTTGAGCCCAAAGTGTTGGGATTACAGATGTGAGCCACCTTGCCAGGCGCTGAGCTCCTTCTGTCTTCCATGAAGGATACACTGTTCCTCGCCTTTTGTCTTTTTTTGTGTGTATGTCGCAGGGTCTCTGTTGCCCAGGCTGGGATGTGGTGGTGCGATCTGGGCTTACTGCAACCTCTGCCTCCCAGATTCAAGTGATTCTCCTGCCTCAACCTCTTGAGTAGTTGGGATTACAGGTGTGCGCAAGCCCGCCCAGCTAATTTTTGTATTATTGGTAGACGTGGGGTTTCACCATGTTGACCAGGCTGGTCTCGGCCTCTTGAAGTGTTAGGGTTACAGGCGTGAGCCACTGTGCCTGGCCACTTTTGTCTTTTGCGTGTTCTGATCCCCTTGCCTGGAATGCGCTTTCGCTGCCTCCTGGTTATCCCTCAGGTTTCAGCTCTAACATCACTTCCCCAGGGAAGCCTTACCCTCCCTCTCTTCTGCTGTAGGATAATATGAACCACTGTCATCATTACTTGTTCAGCGTCCGCCCTCCCTGTTAGGCAGCAAGGACAGATATCTTGCCTGTCTTAGGCCCCCAGAACCCAGCACACGGCTTGGAACATGTCAGGTGCTCCAACATTTGTTGAATGAGTCAGTCTGGGCTCGCAGAGGGAGCTGGGACCAGAGTAGAGTGGACACTGAAGCGTGTGTAGCAGTTTGCCAGGCAATAGGGAAAGAGACCTTCTCGTGAAGCAAGCAGAGATGAGAGGGAGAAATGAGAATAGCTAAGATTGTTTTGAGCATTTGTTATGTGGCTTACAGATACTTTGCTGAACATTTTATTCACATGATCTTGTTGAAGCCTCTCATTTCCATGAGGGGTTCTCAATTTTTATAGACAAGGAAGAGGACACATGAAGAGGGAAGTTATTTTGCCATATCACCCACTAAGGGATTTTTTTTTTTTTTTTTTTTTTGAGATGGAGTCTCACTGTCATCAGGCTAGAGTGCTGTGGCGCAATCTCGGCTCACTGCAACTCCCTGCCTCCCGGGTTCAAGTGATTCTCCTGCCTCAGCCTCTTGAGTAGCTGGGACTACAGGCATGTGCCACCACATCCGGCTAATTTTTCTATTTTTAGTGGGTACAGGGTTTCGCCATGTTAGCCATGTTGATCTCGAACTCCTGACCTCAAGTGATTCACCTGCCTCGGCCTCCCAAAGCCAGTAAGGGATTTGAACCTAGGCAGTCTGACTCTTGAGAGCTCAAAGACTTAAGCTCTGTCCTGAGTAGCTTCGCTGGTGTATGGTATAGGGGTCAGAAGAGAGCCTGTCTGGATGCCTAGAGGGCATCCTGCAGTGGGCGTGTGTGTCTGTGATCACAGTGGGAGAGAGAGAGGAGGGGCATCTGTGGCCAGAATGGGGAGGCCTTGAATACCAGGATGAAGAGTTTGGGCCTATGATAATGAGAATAGAAGTAGCTGCCAGTATGAAGAGTTTGGGCCTATGGTAATGAGAATAGTAATAGGTACCAGTTCTTGACTTTCCGGCCACTTTATTGAGTCATTTAATCTCACAACAGTTCTATGGGATAGGTGTTACTGTTTTCATCCCGGTTTTTCAGATGGGGAAACTGAGACACAGAAGTTGTAGTCTGTTGCCCAAGGTGTCGCAGTGAGAAAGTACTGGAGTTGGGCCTCAGACCCTGCGAGTCAGGCCCCAGCGTTCACTGGGGCCATGTGCTCAACCACCATGCCGCCTGCCTGCCGCCGGGGTTGAGCCAGCTGAAACCTGGGTGCTGCTTCTGATGTGGGTGTTCTCCTTTGCTCTCTCCCCAGCACCCGCACAGGCAGCAGCAGCAGTTCTCATCTCTGGATGACAAGCCCCAGTTCCCAGGGGCCTCGGCTGAGTTTATAGACAAGTTGGAATTCATCCAGCCCAATGTTATCTCTGGAATCCCCATCTACCGTGTCATGGACCGGCAAGGCCAGATCATCAACCCCAGCGAGGACCCCCACGTGAGAGGCGACCTTCCCCACTTCCCATGCCCCCATGCCCAGGCCCCTTGCCTGTCTCCTCTCTGGTCCCAACCCCCCACGTCTGTCTGCCTCCACCCGCAGCTGCCAAAGGAGAAGGTGCTGAAGCTCTACAAGAGCATGACACTGCTTAACACCATGGACCGCATCCTCTATGAGTCTCAGCGGCAGGTGCGTGGGGACAGGCCTGGGGGCAGGGGGCTGGAATTACCTGAGGTCCCCTACCTGTGTTTGGGCCAAAGGATGGCTCTCAAGGAGGAGAGATTCTTTTTTGGGGGGGGTTCCATAGAGTTCGGAGGGTTCTCTCGGGACTCTGGAGGAAAAGTGTGAGAGCAGTCCTGCCCTAGGGCAGAAGGATGGACCTGATCACTAAAAACACCTACTGTGTGCCTGGCTGGGGGCTTGCCTGTGCTGGGAGAGGGCAGGGAGAAGGCCTGACAGCCCTTCCTCTTGGAAACACACGGTCCTGAGAAACAGGGTGGGTCCCCATTGCTTCCTGGAGTGCTCCAGGGGACCACCCTAGGCCCATGTGGAATGTGCTATGATCCCCTGATAAATCCTAGTATCAGGGGACAAGGATCCAGTCAAGCCAGTGTCAACAAAGAGGGAAGTTATTGACTCAAATTACCATACCTCCAGAGGGTCCTCTTTTGGGGCACAGCTGGATCCAGGGGGCTCAAAAGCTGTCATTAGACCTTCTCTCGCTCTGTTCTCCTTTGCCTTGGCTTTCTTCCTCTCCAGGTGGTGGTAGGCTCTGGCAGCTCTGGCAGAGTAGGTAGGCAGAGAGAAAGGGTGTAGGGTACAGGCTCTGAAGCAAGTCTGTAAGACTGAAGTCCTAGTTCTGCCCCTTTCTAGCTCTGTGGTCTTGGGAAAGTTGTTTAGAACTTCAGTGCTTCAGTTTTCTATTTTATTTTATTTTATTTTTAAAATTGTATTTATTTCTTATTTTATTTATTTATTTTATTTTGTTTATTTTTATTTATTTTTATTTTATTTTATTTTATTTTTTTGAGGCAGAGTCTAGCTGTGTTGCCCAGGCTGGAGTGCAGTGGCACGATCTTGGCTCACTGCAACCACCTGCCTCCTGGGTTATTACTCCCGCCTCAAGCCTCTTGAGTAGCTGGCACCCCACCACCACACCCAGCTAATTTTTTGTATATTTTTAGTAAGAGTGGGGTTTCGCCGTGTTGGGCCAGGCTGGCCTCAAACTCCCTGACCTGCAGGTGATCTTGCCTGCCTCAGCCTTCCAAAGTACTGGATTACAGGCATAAGCCACTGCACCCGGCTAGTTATATTTATTTATTTCATTTTATTTTATTAGTTTATACGGGGTCTCACTCTGTCTCCCAGGACTGTTGTGTGGTGGTGACACTTGTAGCTCACTGTTAGCCGTGACCTCCTGGTCTCAAGCGATCCCTCCTGCCTTGGCCTCCCTAACAGCTGAAACTTAGTCATGGACCACCATTCCGGCTAATGTTTTTAATTTTTTGTAGAGATGGGATCTTGCGTTGTTGCCAGGCTGGTCCTTGAACTCCTGGGCTCAAGTGAGCCTCCCACCTTGGCACCTCCCAAAGTGCCATCACGCCAGCCAGTGCTTTGGGTTTTCTTATCTGCACCTGCCTCATGAGGTTGGCATGAGGGTTGATGGTGGAATATGGCTCTTAGGAACAGCAAAACTGGCATTTAGCTACCACTTAATATTAGCTTTTCTTATTTACGATGATCCTATCCATCTTGCAATTATTATCCTTTCCACTTAGCAGTGGAAAGAGAATCGTCTTTGACAGTTCAGCACAAGGCCCAGAGCTGGGCACTATTTGGCCAAGCTTTGGTTGTAGACCCTGTCATGAACCAATAACCTGGACTGATTGGCCAAGCCCAGGCTATGTGCCCCCGCCAGGAACTGAGGGAGAAGAGGAGTAGAGTCCATCTCCCAGGCCACAGAGATGAGGGCGGGGCTTGGGTTCCCTGCTGAGAAAGTGGGGAAGTTGTTGGGCAGGGCAGGCCCTTGGATGTCCGCCATTCTCGTGGGGTCAGGACCTCTCAGGGCTTGGGAATTTGCATTTGTGTCAAGTGCCCAGGTGACCCTGTTGTGGACACTGCGTGGATTCGGTGCAGGCAGCCCACTCCCAGGATCGTTTCTCTTCACAGGAATCCTATGCATGGGTTCGCCGAGTTAGGGTAGTGTCTTCACCCTGCCAGAAACTTCCCTGGGGCGTGTCCAGTCGGCCCCACAGGAGCAAGTCCAGCCCTTCCTGGCCACCCTGCCTGCCTGTTTCTCCTGTGGCTTTGGTGCTCTCTTGCTCCTCTCTCCACAGCCTCAGTGCCAGGCCATACCACCCCTGCACGCATAGGCTCCCTCCTGCCCCCCGCTGTGAGTTGCACACACGGGCTTTGGAGTCCAGTGGGCTTGGGTCCAGTCACACCTGTGACTTCGGACAGGTGATTTTTCTTGTCTTTGCCTCAGTTTCCTCATTGTTTTAAAGAATGAGGCTAACGATAAAACCACCCTAAAGGGCAGGGGTAGAAATTCTGTGAGACATAGCAAGTAGGGTTCGTGCCTATTGGCTGACACAGAGGAAGCTCTCAGTAAGGTCACCTCACCCGTCACCGTGCGGCCTGCTTCTGTTAGGACTGTGTTCAGCTGTGAGTTACAGACCTCTTTCCTGCTCCAAAAAACAAAAACAAAACAAAACAAAAATGAAACAAAACAAAAAAACACACACACACACAAAACCCAAACCCCTAACAAATAAAAACAAAAGCAGTAGCCTATACAGACGAGTAATTTCTTCTTTGAATGAAAGAAACCTGGGCCGGGCCCAGTGGCTCATAGTAATGCCAGCATTTTGGGGAGGCCAAGGTGGGTGGATCACCTGAGGTCAGGAGTTTGAGATCAGTCTGGCCAACATGGCAAAACCCCATCTTTACTAAAAAACACATAAAATAGCCGGGCATGGTGGTGCATGCCTGTAGTCCCAGCTACTCAGGAGGCTGAGGTGGGAGAAATCACTTAAGCCTGGGAGGCAGAGTTGCAGTGAGCCAAGATCACACCACTGTATTCCGGCCTGGGCTAAAGAGTGAGCCTTTGTCTCAAAAAAAAAAAAAAAAAATTCTGGAACAGGTGGTCTGGGGCAGGTCTGGTGGCACCATGGATGTCATTGGACACCCAGTTTTCTTTCATTGCTTAGATGCTGCCACTCATAGCATTGGCTTCTACCTTCTCTGAGGTCCCCTCATGAGCCAAAATGGTTGCTGAAGCTCTCTCCATCCACGCCTCATTCTAGGCAGGAAGTAGAGGGAAGGTGGAAGGCCAGACATGGCACATCCCAGCCATCACACCCCCCTACCTTTTTAGAGCTTTCTGGGTAGTCCCACCTAGTAACATCTGCATACATTTCATGGGCCACTCGTAGCTGCAGGGGAGACTGAGAAATGTATTAATAATCCTTTAGTCCAGGCAGTTGCTGCCTGCGGGAGATTGAGACCTCTGTTAACAGAGGAGGGGAATAGGATACTGGGAAGGCAAGCAGGAGCCTCTGCCAGTAGCCCGGAGTCCTGATCCTCAGTGGGGCTGGTTGCAGGGCTCCTCCCCACGCTAACCTGGACAGTCCTGCAGGCCCTCAGTACTCAGCGCCACCCACTCACTTGGCACTGGAATGTGCATTAACTTTTAATTGGCTCCCCACTTGGATGAAAGCACACATTCATCAGTTTCCCCCCACAGCAACGGGAAAGCCAGGCCTGGGAACACACGGAGGAGGGCACTGCCGAGCCGTGAGGTGCACTGACCCCGGGGTGTCCCTAAGGTGCTGTCCAGGCTGCCTTTGTTGCGCTTTACACATGGCCCTGTGTGATCTCATGTGCATCCGTATGCCAGGGCTGCCCAGAGCCCTGTCCAGGACTGCTTGTCAGAGCCCTGCTTGGCTTCTCGCCCTGGATGTCCCACAGCAAACTAATCCTGTCTGAACTTGACCTCGACATCTTCCTCCCAGGCGTGCTCCTTTGCCTCACCTAGTCCGTTTCTCAGTGAAGGGCACCACCATCCACACCCGCTCGCCACACCAGAAACCTCATCTCATCCCTGTCTCCTCCCTTCCCCTTGCTATCCCTTTCTCCCCTCTCATTCCCTCTGTAGATATTTCTTTTTTTTTTTTTATTTTCGAGACGCGGTTTTGCTCTTGTTGCCCAGTGCAATGGCAGAATCTCGGCTCACCGCCTCCCTGGTTCAAGCGAGTCTCCTGTCTCAGTCTTCTGAGTAGCTGGGATTACAGGCATGCCCCAGCACACCTGGCTAATTTTGTATTTTTAGTGGAGATGGGGTTTCTCCATGTTGGTCAGGCTGGTCTCAAACTCCCACCTCAGGTGATCTGCCCGCCTCGGCCTCCCCAAATGCTAGGATTATAGATATGAGCTACCGCACCAAGCTATAGATACTTCCTTTCTTTTATGTTATTTTTGTTTATTTATTTAGAGACGGAATCTCCCTCTTTCGCCCAGGCTGGAATGCAATGGCGCAATCTCGGCCCACTGCAACCTCTACTTCCCAGGTTCAAGAGATTCTCCTGCCTCAGTCCCCCAAATAGCTGGGATTACAGGCGCCCATCACCACACCTGGCTAATTTTTGTATTTTTAGTAGAGATGGGGTTTCACCATGTTGGCCAGGCTACTCTCGAACTCCTGACCTCAAGTGATCCACCTGCCGTGACCTCCCAAAGTACTAGGATTACAGGCGTGAGCCACCACGCCTAGCCTATCTGTAGATAACTTCCTTAGGAACTGCTCAGCTGCTCAGCAGCACACTTTGGGACCCAGCCCCGTCCTCTCTCTGCTTCACTGTTGTTGGTGAGCTGGTCTTCGTGCTCTGCTTGTGGCCTTGTGTTCCAGCATGGCTGCTGCATGTCCAGGCTTCTTGGCTGTCTGCAAGGCAGGAAGAAGTTGGGAGTGGATGGGGCTGGCACCAGCAGCAGTGGTCTCTTCTATCCAGAAAGCAAAAGCAGACTTCCACTGAAATCTCTGGCTAAAACTGTGTCGCACGGCCACCTCTGGCTGCAAGGGAGGCCAGTAACCTGAGCGCATGTCTTTTCGAGGCTCAGAATAGGGGATTTGGGAGAAGGAAGCTGGGCACTGATGTGGCCAGCTGACAGGGTCTGCTGCCCCCTAGCACAGCCAAACTCAGCTTCCTCAGACACATCCACCTGCTCCTCTCCCGCCTCCCCCTGCTACCAAGCTGGGCCTCTGTCCCCTCTCTCCTGGCTCACTGCAGTCAGCCTTGATGGTTCCATCCATTTCCCTCACTGCAGCCTGAGAGCAATTCTGAAACACAGGTCTGACCACATTGCTCCCTTGAGAAGACCTGTTGGCAGGTTACCCACCATTCCCCAGAGTAAAATCAATGTATCGTTCCCTTTGTTATCTGGGTACCACCTTCCTCTCCCTCCTCATCTTCCCCCACCCCTACCACTATACATCCCAGCCCTTCGGTCCTCACGGTCTGCATTCCCTCTGCCTGGAACCCCTCCACCCACCCCATCTTTGTTCATTGGTCCTTGCTGATGCCCCTTCCCTGGTGGAAAAGGTGCTTCCTTTGGGCTCCTATCACAGCACCTCGATCCCTCTGGCAGTTCTAAGCAGTCTGGCAGCATCTCCAAAGGCAGGAACCCTAGCATGGCCTGGCCCAGGACTGGCCTTCAGGCAGGCTGCAAATTCACGGAGGTGTCAGAAGCTGGGTAGGGTTTGGATGGCTCTCTGTCATTGCCAGCATAACCAAGTGTGGGGCCCCCGGTCCCCCCTCCCCCCCAGGGCCGGATCTCCTTCTACATGACCAACTATGGCGAGGAGGGCACGCACGTGGGGAGTGCCGCCGCCCTGGACAACACAGAACCTGGTGTTTGGCCAGACCGGGAGGCAGGTACGTCTGTCTGTGGTTTGGCCCTGTGGTCCCCATTGAGGTGTACAAGTAGTCTGAGTGTTCTTCCAGGAGCAGCACAGTGCCAGGAAGGTCTAAGGAGCTGGAGAAGAGCTTTCCAAGCCAGAAAGAGACAAGCCAGGGTCAGGACTCTGGAGGGGGCGGTCTTCCCACTCTGAAGGCTGGAAAAGTGTAGTGGCTCAGGGTCTGTGCTCTTAACCCTTGTTACCAGTTGTTCAGGTTTCGGGCACATCACTTCCCTCTCTGAGCCTCAGTTTTCTAATCTCCAGAAGAGCGATTATGATGGTGCCTGCATCCAAGGGTCGCTGGGAGGATGCAGTGAGGTCGGCGCTCGCTGTGGGTATGGTCTGTGCTGGGAGACCCTGTCTGCCTGGTTCAGGGATCCTCTGGCCCCTCCTCAGGTGCTGTATCCTTCAGGGAGCAGGAGCAGGTGGAAGAACCTGACGGACCTGAGTGCGGTGCAAGATCAGAGGGGCCCCGGCAGGCCTGGATGAGTGAAAGGAAGGAAGGGTCAAAGACCAGGAATGAAGAAATCATTGAGCAGGAATGAGTGCCTGGGAGCGAAGGAGTGAGCCCAGGGAGCAGTGAGTGGGGGTGTTCCAGGGAGCTTGTTGGTGTGGGGCCCTGCAAGGGGACTACCCTCTGAGTGTCAGCGAGCCTGATAGGGCTAGGAAGGCACATCTTAACCCTTTGTCTTAGATGCTGCACAGCCTGGGGCAAGTTGCTTAAACTGCCCGGTGCCTCTGTTTCCTCATTCATAAGGGGGATGGTAGCCCTTCCCCAAAGACAGCTGTTTGAGGGGAGTCTTGGGGCAGTTGGCACAGTGCCCTCACACAGAGTGAGCGCTCAGGGGCAGGGGTTGGTGTCATGATTGGGGCCTCACCCTGGGGACAGCCCTTCCGCCAGGCCAGACCACGTGGCTGTCCAGAGCCCCCATGGACCAGCATGACTTGCAGCCTGCTCCTGGACTGTCTACTGCTCACAGCTGGACCAGGCCCCTGGCCCCACATGCTCTAGGAGGGCAAACGCCCTGTGATGTTTGTCAGGTTGAGTGTCATCCATGCGGAAAATGAGATTTCCAGACGCCGGGCAGCAAGCTGGGGCCCCACCAGCTGTGCTGAGCGCTGCACCTGTTTTTGCTGAAGGGGTCTCTTTTGTGAGGGCACCAGGCAGGACTGAGCAAGCCTCATGGGAATCATGGGAGCCGCTGAGCTCTCCACACAGGAGAGAGTGACTGTCCAGCACTGAGGGTCAGCAGAAGTGTCTGGGCAGCTGCAAATGGGACTCGTGCAGAGGCAGCATGGTGCAGGCTAAGGAGTTGAGTCAGACCCACTCTAGGCTTCACTTGGCAGGCCGCTTGCCTTGGTGACGCTGTCTGTCATCTGTGAAGTGAGAAGAGTGGTCTTCATCATGATAGGTAGCGTTTCCCTGGGCTCTTGACACCAGAGTGCTGTTCTTTTATTCTTCTCCTTTATTTTTATTTTATTTTTTTTGAGATGGAGTCTTGCTCTGTCGCCCAGGCTGGAGTGCAGTGGTGTGATCTCGGCTCACTGCAAGCTCCGCCTCCTGGGTTCACGCCATTCTCCTGCCTCAGCCTCCCGAGTAGCTGGGACTACAGGTGCCCGCCACCACACCTGGCTAACTTTTTTGTAATTTAGTAGAGATGGGGTTTCACTGGTGTTAGCCAGGATGGTCTTGATCTCCTGACCTCGTGATCCACCCTGCTTGGCCTCCCAAAGTGCTGGGATTACAGGCATGAGCCACTGTGCCCGGCGGTTTTTTTTTTTTTTGAGGTGGAGTCTCACTCTGTCACCCAGGCTGGAGTGCGATGGCGCAGTCTTGGCTCACTGCAGCCTCTTGTCTCCCAGGTTCAGGTGGTTTCTTCTGTCTCAGCCTCCTGAGTAGCTGGAATTACAGGCCATGCACCACGATGCCTGGCTAATTTTTGTATTTTCAGTAGAGACGGGGTTGTCACCACGTTGGTCAGGCTGGTTTCAACTCCTAACCTCGAGTGATTCATTTGCCTTGGCCTCCCAAAGTGCTGGGGATTACAGGCGTTAGCCACCATGCCCAGCCAGCCAAGGTGCTGTTATAAGTGCTCTTTAGCCTTGGAGATTGTCATTTCCCCTCACCACACTGCAGAGCAAGGGCACACTGGGTGAGGTTAGGGCAGGCCCCGATGGTGTTGCCTCATTGAGGCACCTCCCGCATCCATGTGAGGCAGGAGAGGCAGGCATTACCCGTCAACTCTAAAAGCCAGGTAAGAACCTGAGTCAACAGAGGTTAGGTCACGGGCTCAGGCCATGTTCTCCTAAGGAGTGGAGCTGAGTCCTTGCATGGCTGTCTGACCCAGAGATAGCTCTTGGCTGTCCTCCCAGAGCTATACGTGGTGTGTCAGTGGTGGCACGGCAGGGAGTGGCACCCAGTGAAAAGGAGTGTTAAGAGGAAGCAGGTGCCAGGTGTGGTGGCTCACGCCTGTAATCCCAGCACTTTGGGTTGCCGAGGTGAGAGGATTGCTTGAGCCCAGGAATTTGATACCAGCCTGGGCAACATGGCGAGACCCCCATCGCTGAAAAATTCAAAAATTAGCCAGGCATGGTGGTGCACACCTGTAGTCCCAGCTACTCAGGAGGCTGAGTGGGAGGATGCTTGAGCCCGGGAGTTCAAGACTGCAGTGATCTATGTTTCCACCACCGAACTCCAGTTTGGGTGACAGAGTGAGATCCTGTCTCTGAGACCAACAAGAAAAGAGGTGGCAGGTGTCAAGCAAGAGCAGCAGTTCCCACTGGACTTGGAGTTTCCTGGTGCAAATCAGCCTGTGAGTCTGTATTTTCTTTTTCTTTGAGACGGGGTCTCACTCTGTCACCCAGGTTGAAGTGGCGGTGGCATGATCTCGGCTCATGCACCTCTGCCTCTTAGGATCAAGTGATCCCTCCCACCTCAGCCTCCTAAATAGCTGGGACCACAGGTGCACACCACCACACCTGGCTAATTGTTTTTTTTTTTATTTTATTTTGGTAGAGATGGGGGTTTCACCGTGTTGCCCCAGGCTGGTCTCAAACTCCTGAGCTCAAGTGATCCACTGCCTCACCCTTCCAAAGTGCTGGGATTACAGGCATGAGCCACTGCACCTGGCAAGTTTGTACTTTAGCACCTTCCTCGCCCCTACCCAGTCCTTCTCATGTGGGTGGACCCAGTACCACATTCTGAGAAAGCCTGATTCCAAGATCCTGTATCAGTGCCTTGGACCTTCTTTGGCCCTCTACAAGGCCTTTCTTTCCCTCTTTAACCAGAGCAACTCCTGTTTCCATCTGTTACATATGCACCACAGCCACATGTTATGTGGATTTGTGTTATGTCCATTCAAAAGCATGTGTGAGAAAATACCAATAGGCCAGGCGCGGTGGCTCAAGCCTGTAATCCCAGCACTTTGGGAGGCCGAGACGGGCGAATCACGAGGTCAGGAGATCGAGACCATCCTGGCTAACACGGTGAAACCCCGTCTCTACTAAAAAATACAAAAAAAACTAGCCGGGCGAGGTGGTGGGCGCCTGTAGTCCCAGCTACTCGGGAGGCTGAGGCAGGAGAATGGCGTAAACCCGGGAGGCGGAGCTTGCAGTGAGCTGAGATCCGGCCACTGCACTCCAGCCTGGGCGACAGAGCGAGACTCTGTCTCAAAAAAAAAAAAAAAAAAAGAAAATACCAATAAACCTGTATTAAAGTTGAAGTAATGCTAATCACCCTCAACTCTAACTAAAAATTAACAAGTGGGCCGGGCGCGGTGGCCCATGTCTGTAATTGCAGCACTTTGGGAGGCTGAGGCGGGTGGATCACCTGAGGTCGGGAGTTTGAGACCAGCCTGACCAACATGGAGAAACCCCATCTCTACTGAAAATACAAAAATTAGCTGGATGTGGTGGCGCATGCCTGTAATCCCAGCTACTCAGGAGGCTGTGGCAGGAGAATCGCTTTGAACCCGGGAGGCAGAAGTTGCAGTGAGCCAAGATTGTGCCATTGGCATTCCGGGCAACAAGAACAAAACTCCACCTCAAAAAAAAAAAAAAAAAAAAGCCAGGTGTAGTGGTGCACACCTGGAATCCCAGCTATTTGAGAGGCTGAGGCACAAGAATTGCTTGAACTAGAAGGCGGAGGTTGCAGTGAGCTCAGGTTGCACCACTGCACTCCAGCCTGGGTGGCCGAGCCAGACTCTGTCTCAAAAAAAAAAAAAAAAAAAAAACCGGTAACTGCTGTGTGTAATGTGATCACCATTAAATTTGTATCTAAAGACGGGGTTCTGCAGTGAAGAAAGGGTTTGGAAAGCACTGTACTAGAGAGCTCCCTCTGAATAATGTTCCTGGTCTGAGTGCTTGCAGCATTGATCCACAGCGCTGCCCCTAAGGTGTGGATGTGAAGATTGTCTCACTATCCAGGTGGGGCAAAGAGCTTGTCCGAGGGCAATCCCAAACCCCCTTCTGTCTTCTAACTCAGGAGGAAGGGCCGCCTTCACCTGGAGCGGTTCCCTTTGATGGGCAGGTGGGCGTTCACCAGAGGTTTTGTTTGAAGAAAGGGTTTTACTGCCGTACGTGGGTTAGAGTACTTCTTCTGTAGTCTAGAAGTTGTAAATTAGGCCGGGCGCGGTGGCTCAAGCCTGTAATCCCAGCACTTGGAGGCCGAGGCGGGTGGATCACGAGTAGGAGATCAAGACTATCTGCTAACATGGTGAAACCCCGTCTCTACTAAAAATACAAAAAACTAGCCGGCGTTGGTGGCGGGCGCCTGTGTCTCAGCTTTGGGAGGCTGAGGCGGGAGAATGGCGTGACCCGGGGGGCGGAGCTGCGTGAGCCGAGATCACGCCACTGCACTCCAGCCTGGGAGACACAGCGAGACTCCGTCTCAAAAAAAAAAAAAAAAAAAAAAAAAAAGAAGTTGTAAATTAGTGGTCTATGCTGTTATTTGGTTCATAACGATGATGTTTTTCTTTTTTTTTTTTTTTCGAGATAGGGTCTTGCTTTGTAGCTCGGATTGGAGTGCAGTGGCACAATCTCAGCTGCCTGCAGCCTTGAACTTCTGGGCTGAAGCAGTCCTCTGTCTCAGCCTCCCAAGTAGCTGGAACCACAGGCGCACATCACCATGCCTGGCCAATGTTTTGATTTTTTTTTTTTTTTTTTTTTTGTAGAAGCAAGGCCTCACTATGTTGCCCAGGCTGGTCTCCAACCCCTGGGCTGAAGCGATCCTTCAACGTCAGTCTCCCAAAGTGCTGGGATTACAGGCATGAGCCACCATGCCTGGCCATAGTGATGATTTATGGTTAGAATATTTCTTAAAGGTAATTGAATTAGTTGAAAGCACTTAAAGACCAGACAGTGTCTCACTAAGAGGAAGAAAGAAAAAGGCTAGATTTCTGCTTTCTTTTGAAAAATCAGATTGGCCTTGCTGGGCAGTCAGTCAGTCTGAACATCAGTCTCCCTCTTAAAAACAAGGCCGAGCTTTTCCTGTCTGTCTGCCGGCATGCTGCGGGTCACCCACGGGGCCGATCTGACCCCCTGCCACTGCCCACTCAGCTAACCATTGCCTCCTCCCCCTCCTAGGTGTGCTGATGTATCGCGACTACCCCCTGGAACTATTCATGGCCCAGTGCTATGGCAACATCAGTGACTTGGGCAAGGGGCGGCAGATGCCTGTCCACTACGGCTGCAAGGAACGGCCACTTCGTCACTATCTCCTCTCCACTGGCCACACAGATCCCTCAGGGTGAGGATGCATGCCCTGGACCTTGCACACATGCAGACCAGTGTCACACCCCTGTCCAGGCCTCAGCTCTTCTGCCTCCCTTCTGGGTGGAATTCTGGGTTGGTGACACCACCAAGCCCTGGTCTGTGCTCCCAGACTTATTACTTTTTTTTTCTTTTTTGAGACGGAGTCTTGCTCTGTTGCCCAGGCTAGAGTGCAGTGGTGCGATTGCAGCTCACTGCAGCCTCCTTCTCCTGGGTTCAAGCAATTCTCCTGCCTCAGCCTCCCAAGTAGCGAGACTATAGGTGTGCACCATCACGCCCAGCTAAGTTTTGTATTTTTAATAGAGACGGGGTTTCACCATGTTGGCCGGGCTGGTCTCAAACACCTTGCCTCAGCTAGTGCTAGGATTACATGCATGATTCACTGTGCCCAGCCCACTTTTTTTTTTTTTTGTCTGAGACAGGGTTTCACTCTCATCAGCCAGGTTGGAGTGCAATGGTGTGATCTTGGCTCACTGTAACCTCCACCTCCCAGGCTCAAGTGATTCTCCTGCCTTAATCTCCTGAGTAGCTGGATTATGGGCATATGCCACTCCACCTGGCTAATTTTTTGTATTTTTTGTAGAGATAAGGTTTCACCGTGTTGGCCAGGCTGGTCTTGAACCTGAGCTCAAGTGACCTACCTGCCTTGGCCTGTCAAAGTGCTGGGATTACAGATGTGAGCTATCGTACCCGGCCTGTGTTCCAGACTTGGAATGCACCTCTTGTCTGGGACCCTTCAGAAGAGGGCTCTGTTGCTGTCCCCACCCCATTCAGGGGCCTGAAGCCTGTGCGACCACACTCTGGATTTCCCAACCACATGCCCACTGCGTTTGTCTGCTCACAAACACAGCCAACATGTGCACCAGGTTCCACTGTGCCAGTGCTTCACATTCATCGTCCAATAGGACCCTCATTGTGGCCATGGGGACAGAGGTTATTATTTGCTCTTGTTCCTGTTTTCAAGAGCAGGAGGCCCATGTTTTGTGTGTGAGAGAGAGAGAGCAAGCGAGTGGGAAAAAAAGTGCAGGAAGCCTGGCTAACATGGCAAAGCCCTGTCCCTACTAAACATACACAAATTAGCTTGGTGTGGTGATGCACACCTGTGATCCTAGCTACTTGGGAGGCTGAAGCAGGAGGATCGCTTGAACCTGGGAGGCAGAGGTTGCAGTGAGCTGAGATTGTGCCGTTGCACTCTAGCCAAAGTGAGATCCTGTCTCAAAAAAAAAAAAAAAAAAAAGGAAATTGAAGTCAAAGAGGGAAGTCACTCACTAACGGTCGTATAGCACAGAGGGAGAGGAGCAGGGACTCAAGTCATGGACTGTGTACCTCCAGAGCCTGGGTTCTTGGCCCTGACCTTTGTCTTCCTCAGTCCTTAGAGTCAAGCAAGCTTCCCCAAAGCTTACTGTAGGTGCCCTGAAGCCCCTTCCCTTATAAAAGGCTTGTTTGGGAAGCAAACCCACCGGGTGCCAGGCCTGCACCCTCATAGCGTGGAGAACAAGGAATCGGAGCCCCTTTCTGCCCTCTGGGGCCTGTAGCCTGATCTAGGGTTGGTCTGGGCTCTGGCTTCTTTGCCCCTAGGGCAGCTGAGATGCATGAGTTTGTGTCTCTCCAGGCCTCAGCACTGTGCCCGGCACAGTAGAAGGCTCCACACCCCTTAGCTCATACTGTTCTTCTGTTGGGAAACAAGAAGCAGTTTGAGCCTTTTAGGTGGGACGTGGGCAGGGAAGCTTTCTCAGACGAGGAGGCATTTAGGGGGCATTTGAACTAAAGGTAATAGGGTTTCCACAAGGCTGGCACCTGCCCCTAACCTTCCCTCTGGGTCCCTGCTAAGTCACTTCAAATGTAAGAAGTTCCTGCCATGTGCTGGTGCCACTCCAAGTACAGGGAACAAAAGCAACGCAAACCTCAGCCTTCCAGGTGCTGCCATCATGGTGGGGGAGATGGACAGTAACAAAGATGGAGAGGGAATGCCTGGAGTATATGAGGGTGGGGGTTCTGTAGGGAGCAGCCAAGCCAGTGGGGCGTGGTACACTGTGGGGGTAGCTGGGGGCCATCACTACACTGAAGTATGGACCAGAGGAAGTGAGGGAGGGAGCTGTGTGGTGTCTTGAGGCAGGTGTGAGCCTGGTGTGTTTGAAGAGCAGGGAGGAGCCCAGAGGGGCAGGTGTGGAGTGAGCGGGTATGGGGTGAGCAGGTGTGGGGTGGTTGGAGGTAAAGTCCAGAGGTGGTGGGAGGGGTGCAGATGGTGCAGGTTGGGTGGGGCCTCAAGGCCTTTGCCTTTTGCAGGGATGTTGACTTTTACTTACACTGGGACAGGAGCCGTGGGTGGGGAGGAGTCTGCTCCTCCTTGGCCTGGCTCACCTCTTCATGGAATCCGCAGGCCTCCCTGTGGGTAACAGATTGGGCAGTGTGTGAAGGGCTAGTAAGGAGGCTGCTCGGTAACTTGGGCTTGACAAGGGTGGTGCTGAGGAGGAGGTGAGAGGGGTCAGGTTCTGAAGGTGGAGCAGATGTGGGGGATGGTGGGAAGTCTTGTTGGAGATGATGCTGGAGTCTTCAGCCTGAGCAGTTGGAAGGGTGGAGCTGCTCTCAGCTGAGCGGGAGGAGACCTGGATGGGCAGATGCTGGGGCATCAGGAGCTCAGGTGTTTTCTTTCCCCTTGAAGCCTGGTGACCGCTGGCCTGAGCCTCAGAGCCCTGGGTCGTGTGAGTGTGAATGAGTGTGAGTGAGTGCGTGTAAGTCTTCGCCCCTGCTCACCACCCTCTCATCCCCTGCAGCGGTGGGGGCAGCCTACGCAGCCAAGCGGGCCAATGCCAACAGGGTCGTCATCTGTTACTTCGGTGAGGGGGCGGCCAGCGAGGGGGATGCCCACGCCGGCTTCAACTTCGCGGCCACACTTGAGTGCCCCATCATCTTCTTCTGCCGGAACAATGGCTACGCCATCTCCACGCCCACCTCCGAGCAGTATCGCGGCGATGGCATTGGTATGGACGCTACTGGCTGCTCCCCACCCCGCCGGGATCATCTCCTTCCCTCTCCCATCCCCCCACCTTCCTGCCACCCCTGCCCTCCTTCCTGGTCCTTCCTGTGTCCTGTGGTGTCTGGCACTTGGTCAGCCACAGGAGTCGAGGTCCTGAGCACTCAGCCTTGCTCTCTCTGTCCTCTCCCTGCTCGTCCCCTTGGCCTTGTGCATGTTCCTCATCTCAGCCCTGGCCTGACCCGCCTTCTCTGTGTCCCCACAGCGGCACGAGGCCCCGGGTATGGCATCATGTCAATCCGCGTGGATGGTAATGATGTGTTTGCTGTGTACAATGCCACAAAGGAGGCCCGACGGCGCGCTGTGGCAGAGAACCAGCCCTTCCTCATCGAGGCCATGACCTACAGGTACCCGCCGCTCCCCCATCAGCACCCCCACAGCGCTGACAGCCACTGTAGCACCTTCCTCATATCGATCACTGTCTCCAAAACATGGCCTTATCACCTGATGTTGCATTTCCCCCTTGCCTTTATTCCGTTTCTACTCCTCCTTCCCTAGTCCATCCCCCATCCTCCCTCCTGACCCCCACTCCAGGGAGCCCCACACTGACCTGGGGCCCTTTGCCCCTATGCAGGATCGGGCACCACAGCACCAGTGACGACAGTTCGGCGTACCGCTCGGTGGACGAGGTCAATTACTGGGACAAGCAGGACCACCCCATCTCCCGGCTGCGGCACTACCTGCTGAGCCAAGGCTGGTGGGATGAGGAGCAAGAGAAGGCCTGGAGGAAGCAGTCCCGCAAGAAGGTGAGGGCACCCCACCCAGGAGGGTGTGGTGGGGGCTGCTGTGGCCTGCAGAGCTCGGGAAGGATTTGCGGGACACTGAACTGGGAGGCTCAGGGATAACCCCAGTGATGTCTCAGATGTGGCCTGTGGAGCCAGGCTGCTGGGGCCATGTGTGTCCTGGCTCTGTGTCCTCGCACGTTGCCCTCCACTTCCTTGTCTTTGAAGGGGATGCTGGTGGTGCCCATTTCAGAAACTGGTTTGAGGCTGGGCCTGGTAGCTCACGCCTGTAATCCCAGCACTTTGGGAGGCCGAGGTGGCAGATCACTTAAGGTCAGGAGCTCGAGAACAGCCTGGCCAACATGGTCAAACCCTGTCTCTACTAAAAATACAAAAATTAGGGCTGGGCGCGGTGGCTCATGCGTTTAATCTCAGCACTTTGGGAGGCCAAGGCGGACGGATCACCTGAAGTCAGGAGTCTGAGACCAGCCTGGCCAAGATGGTGAAACCTTGTCTCTAATAAAAATACAAAAATGAGCCGGGCATGGTGGCGGGTGCCTGTAATCCCAGCTACTCGGGAGGCTGAGGCAGGAGAATTGCTTGAACCTGGGCGGCAGAGGTTGCAGTTAGCTGAAATCGTACCATTGCACTCCAACCTGGGCAACAACAGTGAGACTCCATCTCAAAAAAAAAAAAAAAAAATTAGCCAGGTGTGGTGATGTGCACCTGTAGTCCCAGCTACTTGGGAAGGTGAAGCAGGAGAATCGCTTGAACCTGGGAGGCGGAACTTGCAGTGATCCGAGATGGCGCCACTGCACTCCAGCCTGGGCAACAGAGTGAGACTATCTCTTAAAAAAAAAAAAAAAAAAAGAAGAAGCTGGTTTGAGGAGTAGGTGGCGAACCGTGTGCAGTGTATGTGCCCTGCCCAGAATCAGTGTGCCACCCTCCCTGGCCTGGTCATTAGGAGCCAGGAGCTTGCAACCCAGCGGTGAGGGCAGCACCCAGCATAGGGCAGCACTGTGCGTCCAGTCCCTGCCTTTCTCTGTGCCTCAGTTTCCTCATTGCTCAGCTGCCTACCTCTTAGGGCTGCTGAAAGCCTTAAATGAATCCACACACTTGCATAGCACCTGATCCCTGCTAGGATTTGCGGTTTTTCGTTACACCTCTGCTAGGATGATCATTTCCATTGTCCAGGTGGGAACACAAAGGCTTGGAGTGGTTAACTCCTTGCCGAGGCCCCGCAGGAGGAGGCAGGGCCCTGCATGGGAGGCCGGCTGCCTGCCCACTGCCCCATGTCCCACAGGTGATGGAGGCCTTTGAGCAGGCAGAGCGGAAGCCCAAACCCAACCCCAACCTGCTCTTCTCAGACGTGTATCAGGAGATGCCCGCCCAGCTCCGCAAGCAGCAGGAGTCCCTGGCCCGCCACCTGCAGACCTACGGGGAGCACTACCCACTGGAGCACTTTGATAAGTGAGGCCTGCTCAGCCCACCCCCACCCGCCTTCAGCTACCCCGAGAGGTAGCCCACTCTAAGGGGAGCAGGGGGACCTGGCAGCACACTACCCTCTTCCCCAGTCAGCTCCCTCTAAAACACTCGGCGGCCCGGGCGGCTGCCGCTCTTCACCCCTGCTCCTCCAGGCTGTTACATTGTCGGGGGATAGGATCTGCTGCAGTTGCTGGGGCTCCGTCAGCCCCCTTTCACCTGTTGTTACAGTGCCTTCTCCCAGGGGCTGGGTGAGGGGGTGTACAGGACTAGAAGCCCCTCTGGGTATGGGGTGGACATGGCAGGTCAGCCTGTGGAACTTGCGCAGGTGCGAGTGGCCAGCAGAGGTCACGAATAAACTGCATCTCTGCGCCTGGCTCTCTACCACCTCTGGTCTCTGTTTCCTGGAGTTTGGGGTGATTTGAGGCCACCCCCAGCTTCTCCACCTTAGATAAATAAGGTCAAGGCCCTTGAGATACCTACTTCCCCCGGAAGCTTTCGCAAGCTGGAAGGTTAGCTCCAGCAGACAGGATGGGGGTGGGGGGATCCTCCAGAGATGGTCTCCTGCTCTCTCACAGAATGGGGCAAGTCTGCTGTCCAGCAGAGTGACGGGGAGCCCAGCAGAGCTAGCCCTGCCCAGCAAGGGTGCAGGGGAGCGTCCAGGATGAAGGTCAGGGTGTGCCAAGCCCTGCTCCCCACCACTCCAGGGCCCCACAGTGAAAAAACAACCCCAGGCCTCAGAGTGGGGAGTGCATGTTTTTCAAAAACAAAAGTAGGCAAAAAACAGCCCACCAGCCCATCTTTCCCGCCCAGGCCCCTGGCTGGGGAGGCCAAGGAGTGGCTTAAGTTGTCCAGCTTCTAGGCCCTCCTCCCTCCCATCAAGACCTGGAAGGAGGGGCTGAGCCAGGGGCAGGCCCCAGAGGCCCAGGCCAGGGCCCGGGCCAGGTCAGCACCTCCGCCCTCCCCACCGAGAGTCAGCACTGGAGCCTTGGGTCTTGCAGTTGTTTCCAGAGCCGAATGCTGGCCTGAGGGCCCAGGGGCCGTACTAGCAGCAGGTTGCGGAAAGCGCAGTGGTCCGCAGTGCGGTCTGCTGGCCAGGCTGTGAGGAAGCCTGGGTGGGCCTGGGGCACCAGGCCCAGGGCTCGGATGCAAAGGCCAGTGTAGACGTCCTCAATGGGGAAGGGTGCCACACGGGCTGCCGCCCGCAGCAGCCAGGGTGCCAGGCGCCCGGCAATGACGTAGCCACCCCCGCTTGCATAGGCTGGGTAGCCACCTTCGAAGAAGGACTCGGGCACGTAAAAGGGTCCTCCTGGCTTCCGGAGAGGCATGGCCTGCGTAAAGACCTCACCCAGGTAGAGGTTTCGGGCCGAGGCAGTGGCAGGGCCCGCAGGTGAGCCAGCAGGGCAGGGGTGTGCACAAAGGCATCATCCTGGGCTCGCAGGACAAACTCACGGCGGGGCAGTGGTGGCCCAGCCAGGCCAGCAGCAGCGGTCTTTGAGCGTCTGGGTTGAATGGACGTCGAGGAAGTCCCAGAGCAGCAGGTCACTGTAGCGACGGCTCTCCCAGGCCACTAGTGAGTCTAGGGTCAGGCCCTGCCTCACCCACCGGAGACCCTAGCAGGAAGAGCAGCCGGATCCCTGGAGCTGGACTGCCCCACGTCTCCCTCACGGCCTGTCGTTCTGCAAAGCGCCCTGGTTCTGACTTGACGGCCAACAGCAGGTAGGGGACATCAGTATCCGAGCAGCTGGAGACTTGGCCGCCACCACCTCCAGGCAGCCACTGTGGGAAGCTCCGGCAGGCTGCTGACAGCAGGAAACGGCGGAGGTCCTTGGGGTAGGAGGTGAAGTCAGGGATCTCGGCGGCGGCGGCGGCCCCCCAAGCCTGGCAGCCCCCCGTTTCAGTGCTGTCCCCACTGGGCAGGGACCCCAGCCGCCACTGCTGCTGGTTCCAGTAAGCGAAGGGCAGCGGGCCAGTCTGGCCCAGGCGGGCGGAGAGGTTGGCAGGTAGGGTGGGCTCGGGGTTGGCTGGCGTGGGGCCTGGCGGGGTGCCCCGAGGGCTGGGGTAGGCCTTGCTGAGCCAGGACTCGGATGTCCACTCGATGTACACTTTGAGGCCCAGGAGTGTGAGCAGTGCTGACAGGCAGAGAAGGCACTTGGGGCAGCGCATGACCTGCCCAGGGAAGGGGCGGCCGCGGGAGCTACAAGGAGCCACAGGGGAGCCACGGAGGCCATTGGGGTGTGGGGATGGGCCTCCAGAGAGGGCCCAGCCAGGGCCCAGGCAGACAGCTTCACAATCTCCCATAGTCCCTGCCAACCCCCGTAACAGCTTCTCTCAGTCCCAGATCCTAAACAGCTCCCCTGACCCAGGGACCCGTTGGTCCTTATTCCTAGACCTAGGAATCCCCCATTCCAATCCCATTCCAGCACCCTGTTCTTCCCACTCCGTCCAAATGTTTCCACCTTCCTAAGAGCCCAAGGGTCTACCTCTTCCCTGTCTCCATCCAGGACAAGGGACCCTGCCGTCTATCTCCTCCCTCTCCCTCCATTTATCGCCCTCACCAGGAAATCAGGAGCACGATTCCTAGCTCCCTGGGGTTAGAAACCCAGCGTGCCTCCCGCAACATCCCCACCCCAGGGACAGGGGAACCAGGGATCCCACGCCTTTTTACCTCTGGGTCTGGCTCCCACCAGCTCCGGGTGCTGGCCTCAGGTCAGGCCTCAGCTCCCTCTGATCTGCCTGCCCCAGCCCCTGCGTTGTCGACCGGCCAGGCCCAGCCCTGCCCAGCCAGTCCAGAGGGGCGGGGAGGGGAGCGGAGCGGGAGCAGGGAGGGCCCCAGGGGCCGGGGCGGGGCTGAGGCAGAAGGGAGGGAGGGAGGGAGGAGGGCAGGAGGCCGACCTGAGAGATGGAGCTCTGGCGTGTTAGGGCTGGTTTCTGGTAAGACAGCTGGGAAGGGTGCAGGGGGCAGCCACAGAAACAAGACGGGGGCGTTGCGAGGCCTAGGAGGGGAGAACCAGGGCCTGGGGAGGGAGGGGGTACCAGGGAGGGTGAGACTGAGGGCTGGGCCTGGGCTGGGGAGTGTCAGAGTGACCAGGGTGAGGCAGGGTCCCACTGAGGCAGAGATGGGGAGGCTGAGAGGCTGGCACCCGGCGGCGCCCATGGCCAGGAGGCGGCAGTGAATGTGCTGAGTGGGAAGGGATCGGCGGGCCCGCCAGAGAGAGGGATGTTTGTTGTGGCTGTCCAGCCAGGGTGGTGGGGGGAAGGGGCTGGTGAGGAGGAGGAGAGACAGAGACATCGTGGAGAGGGAAGGGACGGCCCGGGAGCAGAGAGAGGAGAACTGGGGTGAGACAGGCGATGGAGAGAGCTGAGGGGGAGAGAGAGAAGACAGGAAAAGTGGGAAGGTGGCCAGGAGGGAGAGGGGGAGGGAAATGGAGATCCGAGAAAGATAAGGGGTTGCGGAAGCCCTGTAGGGTGCTCACGGGGGAAAGAGAGTTTGAGAGAGGCAGGTGGAGGGCGGAGGGGAGGGACTCAGGCTTCTGAGCCAGACCTGGGGAGTGAGTGGTGGAGAGGGAGCCAAGGGGAAGAACAGGAGAGGAAAAGACTGGAGCTTCAAGGGCAATAGAGGGTGACAGGGTGGGGCCCACAGGGAACCCCGGGAGCTAAGCTGACCCCCTGTACCTCCTCCACCCGGGCTGCCTGCCAGCAGGGTGGGAATCCGTTCCTACCTTACCCCCAACCTCCAGCCCTGGAGCCAGCCTCGCCCTGGGCCCCGCCCCTCCCCCAGGGGCGCTGTGACTCGGGGAACACTCACATCCAGCTCCCTGGGGCAGGAGAGGGTGTCTGCCTGTGTTTGCATCCCTGCCCTCCAGAGGTCCCTGCTGTTGGTACTGCATCAGCTCTCTGAAGACCTCCCAAGACATGGGGTGGGACTAAGGGACTCCCACTAAGCCTGGGCTGACCCCTTCACTCCACCCTTGTTTGGGGGCAGGCCTGTCCCCATCATGGCAGGAACCCAGTCTGTCAGCAGCAGCAGTTGATCTGTCCAGCCCTGATTTCCTCCCCCCAAGTTTGAATAATGGAGCCTGTGGGAACAGCTGGAGGAAGAGAGTGGGGAGGAAGTGGTGAATGTTAATGGAATAATAGCTGGAGTGGGAAATGACAGCTAGGGGCTGGGGGCAGGAGCCCGAGCACCTCCTGAGGGAGTCTGCAAGTTCACTCTACCCTGGGGCTGGGAGAGAGGGACTCCAGACCCCTGGGCTCATCTAGCTTCTGGGGGCAGGGGGTGCTGCTCTTCCTGGAAGCATTAGGAAGCTTCGGAGGGTGCCTTTCTTTTTGCCTTTGCCATGTGCCTCAGCCTGGGTCCAATCAGGAGAGAGAAACCACACAGGAATGGGAATAGGGAAAGTTCAATATACAGAATGATTAACTCTACCATGGGATTGGCCAGTAAGGGGTGCCTTCTTGGGGAACATGGTTGGAGGGTGGACATGCTGGTGGAACACGATCATTCCAATCCGACACTTCCATCTCCCCAAGCCTTGGGACTCCCCTCATCCATCTTACGCTAGGGCAGTTCTGGTCTCTCTGCCTCATTAACTTTAGGCCACTGTTGGATCCAAGTTCCGGTTAGGTACCCAAGCAAGCTATTAGAACCACGCCCAGCTGCACAAGGTAACCCAAGAAATCCAGAAGCTCTGGAAAGCGCACTCATGCCAGTAAATTTGGCCTGAGCTAGTGTTACATCCACCCTCATTGGTGTCACATGCTTAAAATCCACTTCTGCATGCATTCCCCAAGTTTCTGACTCTGTATATTTGCGAAGCCTTGTCATTCTCATCGTGTAAAAGCTGGCACCTGTCCACCTGGAGCAAGCTGATTTGACCCTAGGTATTTATGGGTCTAGAGGCAGCAAGGGGCGCTTGTGGTGAGTCTTAAGAAGAAAGGGGTGTATTCGTTATTTCTGTGTAAGAGCTGGCCATGAGAAAAAAAACTGGGGTGGGACAGTGGCTCACCCCTATAATCCCAGTACTCTGGGAGGCCAAGAGGGGAGGATCACTTGAGCCCAGGAGTTTGAGACCAGCCTGGGCAACATAGTGAGATCTTATCTCTAATTAAGAAAAAAAAAAAAAAAGAATGGACAACCACTTTCAAGGTGTCTGCCACTGGTGAGGTCATCACAAGATTTCTTCTTTTTTTTTTTTTTTTGAGACGGAGTCTCACTCTGTCACCCAGGCTGGAGTGCAGTGGTGTGATCTCCGCTCACTGCAAGCTCTGCCTCCCAGATTCACACCATTCTCCTGCCTCAGCCTCCTGAGTGGCTGGGACTACAGGCGCCTACCACCACGCCCGGCTAATTTTTTTGTATTTTTAGAAGAGATGGGGTTTCATCATGTTAGCCAGGATGGTCTTGATCTCCTGACCTCATGATCTGCCCGCCTTGGCCTCTCCAAGTGCTGGGATTACAGGCATGAGCCACCGCACCCGGCCTCTTTTTTTTTTTTGAGATAGAGTCTTGCACTATTGCCCAGGCTGGTGTGCAGTGGTGTGATCTCAGCTCACTGCAACCTCTCTGCCTCCTGGGTTTAAGTAATCCTCCTACTCGGGAGTGTTCAGCCTCCCAAGTAACTAGGATTACAGGCACCCGCCACCACGCCTAGCTAATTTTTTTGTATTTTTAGTAGAGATGGGGTTTTACTATGTTGGCCAGGCTGGTTTTGAACTTCTGACCTCATGATCCACCTTCCTTGGCCTCCTGAAGTGCTGGGATTACAGGCGTGAGCCCCTGCGCCGGGTCACATCACAGGGTTTCTAAGCAAAGGAAGGCTGGTAGGTTCCTCAGACACTGATAAGTCACTCGCTTGAAGTGACTTGGGGGTTCAAGATTGCCTGTTTACTCTGGGTCCAATTAGATGACCCCATTCCAAAGAAGTAAAAACTTTTGGGCCACGCATGGTGGCTCGTACCTGTAATCCCAGCACTTTGGGAGGCTGAGGCAGGTGGATCACCTGAGGCCAGGAGTTTGAGAACAGCATGGCCAACATGGCAAAATGCTGTCTCTACTAAAAATACAAAAATTGGCTTGGTGTGGTGGTGCGCGCCTGTAATCCCAGCTACTTGGGAAGCTAAGGCAGGAGAATCACTTGAAACCGGGAGGTGGAGGTTGCAGTGAGCCAAGAGATCGCACTACTGCACTCCAGCCTAGGCGACATAGTGAGACTGTATCAAAAACAAAATAACAAAAAACAACAAAAATGTGGGGGCTGTCATGGAAGCTGTCTAGTTCTCAGACTGTGACTTGAGCTGAGTTAGCAGACCCACGCTTGTCACTGTCTGTGGGCACTCAGGGGCACTCTGGAGAATCCATCCAATACCCAGTCTTTAGAATTGTCACAACTACCACAGCTGTTGAGCACAGCAGCCACAGGGGGTCCCAAGGCACGTGCCTCATCTCTGTCAACCACAGGCGCTTGTGGGATTATGATGCCATTGCATGCCTTGGGCCTCTGGCATCTGGTTTCCCATCAGCAAGAGCTCAGCACTGCGCCCAAGCCCAAAGGCACAACCAAACCAATCCTGGAATCCTATCTTAATAGTCTATTCCTGGGACACTCCAGGTATCAACTCTGTATTCATCAGGATGCAGTCAGGAGAGAAAAACCACAGAGTAACTTGAACAGGGAAAGTTTAATATAGAGAATTACTGGCTTTAACAGTGAACTGGAATGAGGGCTTCACTGGTGAAATGCTTCTGAATTGACTGGAAATCCATCTGGGGTGCTGGGGAATGTTATTCCCAGAGAGGTGCCTCAGTGGAGGTGCTGTGTCTCCTACGCAACTTCTGGGGGCTGGAGGGTGCCAAGGGCAGCTGCTGACCACCTGGTGCTTCAGGAGCTGGGTGCTGGGGAAGCCACACGCACCGCGGGGTCCAGAGGCGGAAGCACAACCAACAGGAACCAGGAAGGAGGCGCCTTTCCTCCTGTAATGCCTGTTTGGTGCCCTCTACTGACAAAGCTTATCCCCTTTCTACAGAAACACAGACCAAAAAAGCTGAATTTGGAATATAAAGTCAATAAATCCATAACCAGCAATACCATGGGGCCTGGGGTGTGCTGGCCTTTAGTGAGTGGGGCAAAGGATGCTGCACGTCCTGTAGTGAGCAGAGAGGCCCTGTACGGGGGAGAACCATCCCTGTAAAGTGTCAGTAGCAGCTCCTGTGTCAGTCAGGGGCCCTGCAAGAAATGGCAGTGCACTCACATAAGGACAGTTTGAGAAGAGTCTCTTGACAAGGTGAGTGTGGCTCTCTGCAGCTACTGACAGCCTGAGACTTTACCTCCCCAGGCCTGAAGAGGGGCATGGAAAGGGCTGTCTGAGGGTGACAGGAGCTGTGACCTTTAGCCAAGGGCAGCCAGGAATAAATACTGGGACTTCATGCTCTCTCCCTGTGATTGGCCAGCACCATTCCCCCACCCCCATGTTGAGTGAAGACAAATGGAAGCCAGAAGTGTGGCGAGCTACCAGACATTCCATGCAGCCCGCTGAGAAGCCACTCGAGTGGGGACAGGGCTGAAGGCTAGGCAGGGACAGGGCTGGCTGTGTCCTGAGGCTGCTCCTCCGGCCCCAACTTCAGGCCCTCGGCCCAGTCGACCCCCACAACCTGGCAATTGGGCAGCATCTCCTCCACTAAGATCTGAGTGAGGCCTGGGTTGGACACGGCAGGGAGGTCCGAGATGTCCAGCCTGCGGAGGTTCCTGAAAAAGGGGGAGAAGGACAGGAAGCCAGTGTAAGGACAGTGTGTGTGTGTATAGGGAGGTACTGGCCCCAAATTTCAACCTTAGCTTCCTAAAATAAAATCTTTATAGCTGTCCAGGCACACGAAGCCCAGTGTGTTAACTGCAAATACGCAACTCTAGCTCCTACTGTTCTGCAACAGCATCGATATCATAGAGTTTTGACTAAAACAAAAAGGAAGAAAAACCAGGAGTCATTTAATTCTTCCAGAGACTCACTGTGACTGCTCATCTACCACAAATACTCTAGGTCTGTGATGGAGGTAGGGGGATATGAGAACTGCCCAACACTGCTCCTCCCCACTTCCTCTCCTGCATCTGTGTGAGGTGGGAGAGGTGCCTGCATACGGGGCCCAGCCTGAGCTGAGGTCTCACTGGAGGTGGTGGAGGCAGGCAAGGCCCCGTTCGGAGACGCGGGGACAACCGGCCAGCGAGAGCTCCTGCAACGAGTCGGCCAGTGGGTAGAGGCGGCTGAGACACCAGTCGTCCACGTGGGGGCAGCGCTGCAGCGACAAGGACTGGAGCTCCTTCAGGAGGACTGTGGTAGGGAGAGGGCAGGATGGCACCAGGGGCCTTTCTGAAGCCCATCACCAAAGGGAAAACGTGGAGGCCTGTCCCATCTCCACCCCACCGCACTCACGGAGGTTGTCCAGGCCCTCGTAGTTGATTTCACAGTCACTGGCATCCACAGCTTCGACAGGCACTTCCCGGAAATTCCAGAACTCTGGAGAGAAATGGCCATACTTATCTGGCCTGATCCACTCCTTGTCTCGAAACCTGGAAACGGGGAGAGGGAGTGTCAGTAGGGCAGCCGAACCTGCCCCAGGCCTCCAGCCTCTTCGGAACCTTCCCCAGCCCTATATAATATGTATAGGTCACCCCTGACATAACTAACTCCATCTTAGAAAAAGACTCCATCTGGCTGTGCGCAGTGGCTCATGCCTGTAATCCCAGCACTTTGGGAGGCTGAGGTGGGAGAATCACTTGAGTTTAGGAGTTTGAGGACCAACCTGGGCAACATAGTGAGACCTCGTCTTCACAAAAAAATACAAAAATTAGCTGGGCTTGGTGGCTTGCACCTGTGGTCTCAGCTACTTGGGAGGCTGAGGTGGGAGGATTGCTTGAACCCAGGAGGTCGAGGCTGTAGTGAGTTGTGATCATGCCACTGTGCTCTAGCCTGGGAGACGCTGTCTCAAAAAAAAAAAAAAAAAAAAGAATGTTTTGCCAATTTTACATACCTAGAAACTGAGGGTCAGCGAGATTACAGATAACATAAGAGCAAAAAGGTAAATGCAAGAATCCTGGTAGATGGGCAAAAGTTAAGGGACATTTTCAAACATGTATACTGTTTCTAAGGAAGTTGCCAGAGGAAGTGCTCAAACCAGACGGAGGGGTAGATGAAGTCTATGTGAACTGTCTTTTCCGAAAAAGAAAAAAGCAAAGGAAAGAGAAAGGGAAGGAGAAAGGAGGCAGGGAAGGAGGAAAGAAAGAAAAACAGTATTGAGCACAGGCCAGGTGCTGCCGGTGGCTCACGTGAGCCTGTAATCCCCAGCACTTTGGGAGGCTGAGGTGGGTGGATCACTTGAGGTCAGGGGTTGGAGACCAGCCTGGCCAACACGGTGAAATCCTGTCTCTACCAAAAATACAAAAAATTAGCCAGGCATGGTGGTATGCGCCTATAATCCCAGGTACTTGGGAGGCTGAGGCAGGAGAATTGCTTGAACCCAGGAGGTTGCAGTGAGCCAAGATTGTGCCATTGCACTCCAGCCTGGGCGACAGAGCAAGACTCTGTTCAAAGAAAAAAAAAATATATTGAGCACATATGCATTGCTAGGCCTCTACATCGCAAAATCACAGTCAATCTCTCACTCTCTCTGACAGGGTCTCACTGGGTAGCTGGGATTACAGGCATGCACTACCATGCCTGGGTAATTTTGTATTTTGGTAGAGATGGATTTCACTATGTTGCCAAGGTGATCTGAACTCCTGGCTCAAGTGCTGTACCTGCCTTGGCCTTCTCAAAGTGCTTGGACTACAGGTGTGAGCTACCACGCCCAGCCATTTTATTATTATTTTGAGACAGAGTCTTGCTCTGTCGCCCATGCTGGAGTGCAGTGGCGCGATCTCGGCTCACTGCAACCTCTGCCTCCCGGCTTCTAAGGGATTCTCCTGCCTCAGCCTCCTAAGTAGCTGGGATTAGAGGCGTGCGCCACCATGCCAACTAATTTTGTATTTTAGTAGAGACAGGATTTCACCATGTTGGCTAGGTTGGTCTCGAACTCCTGACCTCAGATGATCCACCAGCCTTGGCCTCCCAAAGTGCTGGGATTACAGGTGTGGGCCACCATGCTCTGCCTATTATTATTTTTTGTGACAAGGCCTCACTCTATTGCCAGGCTAGAGTTCAGTGGTGTGACTATAGCTCACTGTAGCCTCCTGGGCTAAAGCGATTCTCCTGCCTCAGCCTCCTGAGTAGTTGGGACCACAGGCATGTGCCACTGCACTGGCTAATTTAAATATTTTTTGTAGAGACAGGGTCTCACAAAACTGCTGAGGCTGGTCTCAAACTCCTGGCCTCAAGTGACCTTCCTGTCTCGGCCTCCCAAAGTGCTGGGATTACAGACATGAGCCACTGTGCCCAGCTCCGTTCAGTCTTTTTTTTTTTTTTTTTGACACTTTTGAGACAGAGTCTTGCCCTGTCCCTAGGCTGGAGTACAGTGGTGCAATCTCGGCTCACTGAACCTCCGCCTCTGGGTTCAAGCGATTCTCCTGCCTCAGCCTCCCAGTAGCTGGGATTACAGGCGCCCACCACCAACACACCCAGCTAAGTTTTGTGTTTTAGTAGAGACGGGGTTTTGCCATTTTGGCCAGGCTGCTCTCGAACTCCTAACCTCAGGTGATCCACCCACCTTGGCCTCCCAAAGCATTGGGATTACAGCCGTGAGCCACCATGCCTGGCCCCCATTCAGTCTTTATAGCAAAACTTGTAGGTTAGAAATGATCACCATCCCATTTTACACATGACAAAACTCAGGAACAAGTCCCAAGCCACACAGCCAGAAGGCGGCAGAGACCAGGGGACTCTGAAGCCTGTGTGACTGCAGAGCCTGGACGTTAGAGAGATACCCCACCACCTGCCCCCAGCCTTAGCGGTCATACTTGACTGCGCCTCCTTGCTTCAGGATGAAAAAGGCACCTGCACTGTATGGACCATGTTGCTCCTCCAGCCAGGTGAAGGATCTGCAGAAAAAACGGTAGCTAAGGGTGAGGCCTGGGGAGCATCACAGCCCTCACGATGCCCCAGTGCTGTTAAGAGGGGCAGAGTCCAGCAAACCAGGCATGCAGACAGACAGAGTCAGGCTGAAAATATATATTGCCCACCTACTAAGTGCTGGGCACTGGGGGCAAAGTGGTGACCAAGGCAGATAACATCCTTGCCCAGTCTGGAGATTAGTGCAGTAATCCAAGCCATTATACAGGGAGAAACAGATAACAACCCAGGAAATAACAGCAAATTGCAGAGAATGTCAATTCCATGACTAATAAAGCAGAGAGGCTGACTGGGAGGGGTGGGGAGCAGAGGGGTGGGGACGGTGGAGGCTGAGTTTGGGTGTTAATTGGAGGAGGTGACATTTGAGCAGAGATTTGAGTGGTGAGAAGGAACAGAGTATAAAGGCTCAGAGACTCAAATTAGGATGGCTGAATAAATAAGAATAGGGATGTTGGCCAGGCGCGCGTGGCTCACACCTGTAATCCCAGCACTTTGGGAGGCTGAGGCGGGAGGATCACAAGGTCGGGAGATCAAGACCACAGTGAACCCCGTCTCTACTAAAAATACAAAAAAAAATTAGCCAGGCGCGGTGGCAGGCACCTGTAGTCCCAGCTATTCAGGAGGCTGAGGCAGGAGAATGGCGTGAACATGGGAGGCGGAGCTTGCAGTAAGCCAAGATTGCACCACTGCACTCCAGCCTGGGCAACAGAGCGAGACTCAGTCTCAAAAAAAAAAAAAAAAGAAAAAGAAAAAAAAAAGAAATTGGGATGTCATGCTGACAGGGGGCCAGTGGAGTCCTGGTCGGGGGGGTCTCAAAGCTCAGTAGGGGCTATGTTTTAGGCCTTGGAGATTGGTTCTCATTTGAAGGTTTTGAGCTGGTGATGATAAGATTCCTTGAGCTGCTTTGTAGATTATAAAAAAGTATGGGACAGGCCAGGTGTTGTGGCCTACACCGGTAATCCCAGCACTTTGGGGGGCTGAGGCAGGTGGATCATCTGAGGTCAGGAGCTCGAGGTCAGGAGCTCGAGACCAGTCTGGCCAACATGGTGAAACCCCAGCTCTACTAAAAATAGAAAAATTAGGCATGGTGGCGTGTGCCTGTAATCCCACCTACTTGGGAGGCTGAGGCGGGAGAATTGCTTGAACCCGGGAGGCGGAGGTTGCAGTGAGCCATGATCACACCACTGCACTCCAGCATGGGAGAACAGCGAGACTCCGTCTCAAACAAAACAAATTTTGGCCAGGCGTGGTGGCTCATGCCTGTAATCCCAGCACTTTGGGAGGCCCGAGGCAGGCTGATCACCTGAGGTCAGGAGTTTGAGAGCAGCCTGGCCAACATGGCGAAAACCCGTCTCTACTAAAAATATAAAAATTTGCCGGGCCTGGTGGCGGGTGCCTGTAATCCCACCTACTCGGGAGGCTGAGGCGGGAGAACTGCTTGAACCCGGGAGGCAGAGGTTGCAGTGAGCTTAGATTGTGCCACTGCACCCCAGCCTGGGAGACAGAGCAAGACTCCGTCTCGGGAAAAAAAGAAAAAAAAAAGAGTATAGGAACAAAAAACCAGTTATTGAGTGATTCAATTATAAAACGAAGGGACTTGGATCAGGTTATGAATGGTGAAGGCAGTGAGAACTGGTCAAATCAGAGATATTCTAGTATTTTATTGATGGTCTGGATGTGGAGGGCAGGGAAGCACAAGAGAGGAATTAGGGATGAATACTTAGAATTTGGCCTGAACAGGCCAGGAACGGTGGCTCAGGCCTGTAATCCCAGCACTTTGGGAGGCCGAGGCAGGCAGATCACAAGGTCAGGAGATCGAGACCATCCTGGCTAACATGGTGAAATCTCATCTCTACTAAAAATACAAAAAATTAGCCGGGCGTGGTGGCGGGCACCTGTAGTCCCGGCTACTCGGGAGGCTGAGGCAGGAGAATGGCGTGAACCTGGCAGGCGGAGCTTGCAGTGAGTCGAGATTGCACCTGGGTGACAGAGTGAGACTCCGTCTCAAAAAAAAAAAAAAAAGAAAAAAGAATTTGGCCTGAACAACTGGGTGGGCAGCACTAGTGTTTACTGGGATGGGAAGGCTTGGTAGTGAGCAGATGTTTTTTGGGGAGAAATCAGGGTTTGGTTTTAGCCATGTTAGGTTTGAGATGCCAGTTAGACTCTGAGTGGAGCTGGTGGGTGGCAAGCTGCCTATGTGAGCTGGAGTCCTTGAGAAGGGTACAGGTTGGAGATAGAGCTGCAAGAGACAACAAGGCTGGCACTGGAAGCCACAGTGCTGCCTGGGAATGGCAAGGACAGGACCTGGGCTCTGGTGGGCCAGGGTCTCCGCAGGGTCTTGCAGGCCAGGGATTCTCACCGATTTTTCAGATGCACCTTGGACATCTCCCTTTGGAGCAAGTAACCCCTCAGAGCCTCCACATCGTAGAAATGGTTGTTGAGGAACTGGAGCATCTTCCTTTCCTTCTTCTGATTGCCCTCTGGGACCACTGCCCCACCCAGGCGATGGATGCCCCTGGTCCCATTCCACATGGGGGCCACCAGGCGCAGGACTGGGGACGGGGAGAGGAAAGGAGCTGAGCCTGGAGCCTCCTGGGAGACACAGAGCTGGATCCCCCAGTTCTTGCTCCATGAACCTCAATCCCTCTGATTCCCAACTCGCCCTAAGTTCTTCCTTCAAAACTTCAAAATTGTCTGAGATTCCAAAAATTTTCCCATGTTTTTTCCAAGTTCCTCCTCCCCTTAGTCAACCCTAAATTCTCTCCTTGACTAGGCATATACTGTTGATTTTCCTAAATTCTTCCTCTAACTTTCCCCCAAACTCTTATTACTCAAAACCTGCATTATTTGACCTCTTAATTTCCCATAGATTTGCCCCTTAATTACCCAGTTCTTCTCCTGGGGTTTTCCCGTTTTCCCAAATGACTTCTTTCACCAAAATATAATCTTAAAAACGTATCTCCAAAGCTCATGGAGAGGGCGCTCTGAGCAATCCCTAAACCCAACCAAGCTTGTCCAATCCGCCGCCTGCATGCAGCCCAACACAAACATGCAAACTTTCTTAAAACATTAGGAGGATTTTTTTGTGTGTTTTTTTTTTTTTTTTGAGACGGAGTCTCGCTGTGTCTCCCAGGCTGGAGTGCAGTGGTGTGATCTCGGCTCACTGCAAGCTCCGCCTCCCGGGTTCACGCCATTCTCCCGCCTCAGCCTCCCAAGTAGCTGAGACTACAGGCGCCCGCCACCACGCCCGGCTAGTTTTTTATATTTTTAGTAGAGACGGGGTTTCACCATGTTAGCCAGGATAGTCTCGATCTCCTGACCTCGTGATCCACCCGCCTCGGCCTCCCAAAGTGCTGGGATTACAGGCTTGAGCCACCGCGCCCGGCCTTTTTTTTTTTTTTTTTTTTTTTTTTGACTCAGCAGTTATGGTTAGTGTATTTTATGTGTGGCCCAAGACAATTCTTCTTCTTCGAACAACGTGGCCCAGGGAAGCCAAAAGATTGGACACCCCGAACCGAGAAGGGTAAAAAAAGCATGAGCTTTGAAGAGGAGAGTAAGAAAGTGGAGAGGTGTGGCCACAGGGAAGAAGCCCCCACACGCTTCAATTTTGCTTTCAAGGTCTCCTCTTAATCTACCCCAGTTTCTCTTTGCTTTAACCAATTTTTTTTTTTCAAATTCTGTCGATAATTTTACCCACACCCTTATTTTCCTTAAAAATTTGAAGCTGCCAACCTCTTTAATTTTCCCTAAATTCATTCCTTGATTTTACCCAATTCTTTCTAAATCCTCTGAAAGAATATCTCAAATTCTGCTCTTAATTTCACCCAGATCATGCCCTTGGAACCCCCAAATTGACCTCTTAGTTCCCCCGCCCATCATGCTTTTGAGTTTTCTGTAAAAATTAGGCAGTTTCCCACGAACTTTTCTTACATTTATCCTTCGGTCTCCTAGGACCAAATCCCACATCCTTAATCCCTTTCAAGCCCTCTTATCCTACAGGCCCCACCCTTGCCTGTCCATTAGCTCCTTGTGTCATCCCTCCCTCTGATTGGTTAGTCGCGTCGCTCTTCGGAGGTCACTCCCTCATCCCCACTGGATACTCTCAGCCAAGTCCCTGCCTCGCTAAAGCGTCTCCTCCGCCTGCGACCCCCACAGATCCTTCCTGGCCCCCAATAGCCACAGGTTTGCACTCCCAGTACGGGGCTTGCCAGTCTTAGCCCGCTGCCTCACGGCTTTTTGCTCTCGTGGCCGCCAACAGAGGCTTGAATGCGGAGGCTGCAGAGCGGACTTCAAATTTAGGGCTCTAGAACTCCGGTCACTTACCACCCAGGGAGCCGCCATCTTGCTAAGATTACGTAACCGGAAGGGGTCGGTCTTATCCGACTAGCCTGGGCCAGGGCGAACTTATTCTCCTGTGGCCACGCCCCGCGTTTTCTAACCGTCCTCTTAAAGGTGCACGCACTTTTTACTCTCCTAGGGTTTAGGGATTGCTCACAGCGCCCTCTCTCTGAGCTTCAAAACCAGACACAGGTCGGGCGCGGTGACTCACGCACCTGTGAGCCCAGCACTTTGTGGAGGCTGAGGCGAGCGCATCGCTTGAAGCCAGAAGTTCAAGACCAGCCTGGGCAACATAGGGGAGACCTTATCTCCACAAAAAAATAGGGAAACAAAAAATAGAATATTAGCCGGGCATGGTGGTGCATGCCTGTGGTCCCAGCTACTTATGAGGCTGAGGCAGGAGGATGCTTGAGCCAGGGAGGTCGAAGTTGCAGTGAGCTGTGATTGCGCCACTGCACTCCAGCCTGGGCGACACAGCAGACGCTGTCTCTTAAAACAAAAAGTTGAAAAACAAAACAAAACAAAAAAACAGGACTCCACAATCTTTCCCTAGGAGAAGATGGGGTGTCCTTCCCGGCAGAGTCTCTTTCTTTCGTGACTGCAATTGCAGTCTCCCTGAGCTTTCTTGTTCTTCCAGCTTCCTCTTTAAAACAGGGAATGAGGGGGCCGAAAAGCTGACCACGTCATTTTTTAAAATTAGGGTCAGGTAAGAGAAAGAGTGGGTGAAGAGGTTAGACTTCAAGGTTAGAGACTGAGGTGAGATCTCAAGACCAGTTCGGAGTTCAAAGCTAGATAGCAGCATGCAGAGCCATTGTGAAGTCTTGTGGATAGCAGTATTCATTCATTCATTCCAAGAATATTTACTGAGCACTTACCACATGATGGCAGGCACTGTTCTAGGTGCTGAGATTACCATAGTGAGCAGGACAGACCCAGTCCCTCTCTCAGGGAGTCAACATTCTGGGCTGGGACAGCATGGATATGGGAGAGGATGGATACGAAACAAAGGAATCAGCAAGATAATTTTGATAATAAGCAGATTAAAAAAAAGTGACTGGGGCGTAGGGCCATCAGCAAAGGCCTCTCTGAAGAGGTGACATTGAAGTGGAAGTGAATGATAAGGAAAGAGCCATTCAAAGATCTAAGGGAAAAGAGCTGCAGGGAGAGGTAGCCTCTAGAGCAGAGAGGCCTTGAGGTGGGAACCAGCTTGTAGACAGAGATAGGAGACTGGGTTAAGAAGTGGGCAGGGGCTGACGGTGCAGGCCTGGTAGGGTTTTATTCTATTCACAGTGGGAAGAAGGGAGTGTTAAAATCGGATTTACGTTTTGTAAAGATTCTCTCTGCCAGGTGGAGAATGTACCTTAGAGCAGTGGTCCCCAACCGTTTTGTTACCAGGGACTGGTTTCGTGGAAGACAATTTTTCCATAGACCAGGGGGCAGGATGTGGGGTGGGGATGGTTTTGGGGTGAAACTGTTCCACCTGAGATCATCAGGCATTAGATTCTCATAAGGAGCAGGCAACCTGGATCCCCCACAGGCACAGTTCACAGTAGGGTTTGCCTCCTATGAGAATCTAATGCCACCGCTGATCTGACAGGAAGCGGAGCTCAGGCGGTAATGCTCACTTACCTGCTGCTCGTCTCTTGCTGTGTGGCCCAGATCGTAACAGGCCAGGGGCTGGTACTGGTTCTCGGCCCAGGGATAGGGGAACCTTGTCTTAGAGGGCAAGGGTGGACGCAGGGGACCAGTACAAGAGGCTACTGTAACAGTCTAGGCAAGAGATGAATGGGGATGGGGCAGAGGAAATGGTGAGAAGTGCTCAAATCCTGGATCTGTTTTGAAGGTTAAGCCAATAGATTGAGAAACTAAAAGCAGACTGGCATGGCTGTGCACATGAGGAAACTGAAAGAGCAGCAGGTTTAGGAGGGTGGGTGTGGTGGCTGAATAATGGACCCTCTCCCCCAGATACTCATACCTGTGAATCCCTGGATGCTGTGACTGTGTTACTTTCTATGGTAAAAGGGACTTGGGGCTGGGCGCGGTGGCTCACGCCTGTAATCCCAGCACTTTGGGAGGCCGAGGCGGGTGGATCACCTGAGGTCGGGAGTTCGAGACCAGCCTGGCTAACATGGTGAAACCCAGTCTCTACTAAAAGTACAAAAATTAGCTGGGTTTGGTGGTGCATGCCTGTAATCCCAGCTACTCTGGAGGCTGAGGTGGCAGGGTCGCTTGAACCTAGGAGGTGGAAGTTGCAGTGAGGTTGCAGTGAGCCGAGATTGTGCACTGCACTCCAGCCTGGGTGACAAAGTGAGACTGTCTCCAAAAGGGACTTTGAAGACGTGACAAAGTTAAGAATCTTGAGATGGGAGATTACCCTTACCATGGGCAATTGGGTAGGTCCAATATAATCACAAGGGGCCTCTCAGAGGGAGACAGGAGGGTCAGCATCAACAGGAGATGTGATGATCATAGATAGAGAAGGTTGGGGTGATGAAGGAAGGGGCTAAGAGCCAAGGAAGGCAGGTGGCTTGCAGAAGCTGGAAGAGACTAAGAAATAGGCAGTCTTCTAGAGACTCAAGAAGCGACCCAGCCCTGTGCACCCACCTTAGACTTCTGACCTCCAGAACTGTAACGGTGACTTTGTGTTGTTTTAAGATTGTGGTCATTTGTTACAGCAGCAACAGGAAATGCGTCCGATGATGGGGCTCCCAACTGAGAGTTCTGTGTTGACCACATTCACGTTGAGGTGTCTGAGACACCCTGGTGGAGCTGAAGTAGAGGAGCGGCAGGACTCATTTCCTGGTCCTGACAGGATAGAATAAATAAAGTGTCCGGAACCAGCAAATGACATAAAGGCAACCTCTAGTTGCCCTCACTGCTCATCGGCTTAAGGCACTCCCACCAGCGCCATGACAGTTTACAAATGCCATGGCAACACCCAGAAGTTACTACCCCTTTTCTAGATTTCTGAATAGCCCACCCCTTAATTTGCGTGTAGTTAAAAGTGAGTATAAATACTGCCAGCCCACAGCCCACGTGCTGCTACTCTGGGTAGCCTTACTCTGCAGGAGCTGTCCTTCTGCTGTACACAGCCGCTTCAGTAAACCTGCTTTCTTCCACGGCTTGCTCCCTTGCTCTTGAATTCTTGGCTGACTGGAGCCAAGAAACCTCCAGGGCTAAGCCCCAATTTGGGGACTCACCTGCCCTTCATCAGGGCTGCAGAATTAGGGTGTGGAACTCAAGGGAGAGATCAGGACTGAGACCAAACATTTGGAAGCCAGTGACATATACATGAAATTGGCTGGGACTGGTGGCTCACGCCTGTAATCCCAGCACTTTGGGAGGCCGAGGTAGGCAGATCACCTGAGGTCAGGGGTTTGAAACCAGCCTGGCTAACATGGTGAAACCCCGTCTCCAGTAAACATACAAAAATTAACCAGGTGTGGTGGCGTGCACCTGTAACCCCATCTGCTCAGGAGGCTGAGGCAGGGGAATCGCTTGAACCCGGGAGGCAGAGGTTGTAGTGAGCCAAGATTGCACCACTGCAGTCCAGCCTGGGTGACAGAGCGAGACTCCGTCTCAAAAAAAAAAAAAAATTATCTATATAATTTAATTAATTAATTCATTTATTTATTTTGAGATGGAGTCTTGCTCTGTCGCCAGGCTGGAGTGCAGTGGCGTGATCTCGGCTTTCCGCAACCTCTGCCTCCCGGGTTCAAGCTATTCCACTGCCTCAGCCTCCAGAGTAGCTGGGACTACAGGCACACGCCAGCATGCCTGGCTAATTTTTTGTATTTTACTAGAGACGGGGTTTCACCCTGTTGCCAGGATGGTCTAGATCTCCTGACCTCGTGATCTACCATTATATATATATATATATAAGCACCTTGGGTCTGAAGGAAGGGTTCAAGGCCGAGAGAGGCCTGCAGTGCTTCCCAGACTTTTCCACAGCAGAAGCCCCACCCTTAGCAAGGATGATATACCCATAGGCAAGTCCAGGGTCAGCAGAATGGGCTGCTCGGCCCTAGGCCAGCAGCCTGGACACAGGCACTCCAGCTGAGGGATTGCTCTGTTGGTGCCCCTGGGAGCCATTCCTGCCCCCAAAGGCACACTGGTGGGAAAGCCCTGGGATGACCTGCGCTGAGAGGACAAGCAAGAACCAAGCTATGGGGAAGCCAGAGGTCAAATGGAGGCTGAGGAGAGGCTGGAGAGGCGGTGGTGGTGGGGGGCAGGTGGAAGGACAGAGGGTGCCAGGCATCTACAGACACTGAGCGCCCCTGAGGGGTCAGACCTGAGATAGGCAGGGAGGGGCAGAGTTTGACCTCTGCAAGAGACTGTGTTTGAACCCTTTGAGCAGAGTTGAGGTTAGACTTCAGAAGGAAAAACAAAAGCACAAGGCCAGCTGATTTTCTCTGAAGAGTGGACTTTGGGATACCTTTGCCAGGAACCCCCATCCCACTCCCTCTGCCCTTTACTCTCCACCACGCACACAGCTCCCCGGGGGACTGGGCCACCCTGGACCTTGCTACTTCCTGCTCCTGGCAGCCATAGCTCAGAGACCATGGAGCTGTGGAGGCAGCTGAGTCAGGCTGGACTGGTGCCTCCGGGGCTGGGCCCACCCCCCCAGGCCCTGAGGGAGGTCCCACCAGTGGAAATCCCTGGTCAGACCCTCAGGACTGCAGGGACAGACACTGGAGGTGCCTGGGATAGTCTGCTGTGGATCAGGGAGGAGCTGGTGAGTGAGGGGTTTGGAAGGGAAAGAGAGAGAGAGAGAGGGTAAATGAGAATGAATGGAAATGAAGGAAAATAGAGAGGGCCAGAGATTGAAAGACAGAATCTGAGAGACAGAAGCAGAGACATGAGAGGCATGTACAGACAGAAAGACAGACAGAGAGTGAGGGACAGGAACAGAGGTGGGACAGGGAGATCCCAAAAGAGAGGGGCAGAGGTGGGAAGCAGAGACTGAGAGCAGGAACAGAGACAGGGGACTCAGACTGAATTTGAGAAAGTTGAGGAGGGCGGAGACAGGGCAAGCGAGAGAAAGAGAGCCAAAGGCAGGGGCAGAGAAATAGCAAAACAGAGACAGAGAGACAGGGGCATGGAAAGACAAAAAATAAATGGGGACAGAGACAGACAAAGGGAAACAGAGACAGAGATAGATAAGAGAGGGAGGAGACATATTACTGAGAAACAGAGAGAGAAGTCAGGGACAATGAAATGGAGAGACAAAGACAGGGACAGAGTTAGAGATCAAGATACACTCTGAGAAGCAGGAAGGCAGTTAGGATCCATTGGCACAGTGAGGATCCTGCCCAGGCACCATGGCCAGGACATGAGTTGGGACCTGCTCTCATCCAGGCCCTGGCGAGACCCTTGCTCTCTGGGATGGCATCCCTGTGACGTCCCCTTCCTACCGGCAGGAGAACCTGCGCCGAGTTGATGTCCAGCTGCTGGGACAGCTGTGCAGCCTGGGGCTGGAGATAGGGGCGCTGCGGGAGGAACTGGTCACCATATTGGAGGAGGAGGAGGAGAGCATCGAGGAAGAGGAGGAGGATCAAGAGCCCCAGTGGAAGCAGGAGGAGGAACACCTGGAGGCCTGCCCAGCTCCACACCCCCCTGACTTTGAGATGATGATCTGAGGCTCTGCCAGTGCATTTAGGTTGACATACAAATTAGATGCAAATGTATGCAAAGGGGAGGGGAGATTTGCAGGTCAAATCAGATGTGGAATCAAGTATACCCCTTTAGTAAGTGCTTTCTCTGAAGATGCCTGCAATGAGATTTAGACATTGGCCTGTGAGCTATGGGTGTGTTGGCAGATGACATGAGGATGTGTTTGGAGGTGATGTGGGAGGTTGTAGAGAAGTTGCAGGTGCTTTTGCAGATGAGCCTCAGCTGTGCTGCTGAGATGGGGTCTCTGCAAATGTGATGGTGATGCATACAGATGGGATTTCAGATCAACGCTGTCCAGTATGGTAGACGGACAGCAGACACACATGGCTATTTAGTGCTTGAAACATGGGGAGTCCAAATTGACATGTGCTGTGAGTGTAAAATACACAACAAATATTAAAGGCTTAGTATGATGAAAATAACATAAGACATCTCAATCATGTTTAGATTAATTACTTGTTGAAATAATAATATTTTGATCATATCAGTAGTAGTAAAAATATTACTAAAATTATTTTCACCTGTTTTTAAATTTTGTTGTGTGTGCTGTTCCCCTCCCTGTGTCCATGTGTTCTCATTCTTTTTTTTTTTTTTTTGAAATGGAGTTTGGCTCTGTTGCCCAGGCTGCAGTGCAGTGGCATGATCTCGGCTCATTGCAACCTCCACCTCCTGGGTTCAAGCTATTCTCCTGCCTCAGCCTCCTGAGTAGCTGGGATTACAGGCACGCGCCACCACACCCAACTAATTTTTGTGTTTTTAGTAGAGACGGGGTTTCAGCATATTGGTCAGGCTGGTCTCAAACTCCCGACCTCGTGATCTGCCTGCCTCAGCTTCCCAAAGTGCTGGGATTACAGGCATGAGCCACCTCGCCCAGCCTCATTCTTGTGTTTACAAAGCACTTTGTAGTTGGAAGTGCGGGTCTTTTCAGAGAAGTGAAATGTTGACAGAGGAGGTGCTGATTCCTTTCCATGGGAGTTTTCTCCTTAAAAATAAGCCGCTTCCACTTTGGGAGGCCGAGGCTGGGGAATCAGTTGAGGTCAGGAGTTTGAGACCAGCCTGGCCAATATGGTGAAACCCCGTCCCTACTAAAAATACAAAAATTAGCTGGGTGTGGTGGCGCACACCTGTAATCCCAGCTACTGGGGGGGCTGAGGCATGAGCATTGCTTGAACCCAGGAAGCGGAGGCTGCAGTGAGCCAAGATCACGCCGCTGCACTCCAATCTGGGAGCCAGAGAGATACTCTATCTCAAAACAACACCAACGGAAAACCAAGCTGCTTCCTTTTGTCCAGTGGAGACCCCAGGATTGGGGTGGGGTGCAGGACTGGGGTTTAGGGATTCAGGCTTCATTCCCAGCCTGGTCCTCATTAGCTAACCTGAGCCAGGTCTGCAGCTTTTATCAGTACTGCTGTTTGGGGGTTGGGGAGAACATTGAAGTCACGCCCAGCAGCCAGGGAAGGGGGAAGGAGACCCCACAGAGCATGCAGTGGCACAGCGTTCTCGCCTTCTCTTGGCATTCTAGACAGAGGCCTGGGGAGTCTGGGGGTCTCTTGACAGCTACATCTAGACAGTAGGAGTCATAGGGAATGAGGATGTTGGATGCCATGGCCCCAGGGTCTGGGTCATGCTTCACAAGTGCCAGGGTCCCGTGTCTCTTGGGGAGAAAGACATGAGTGGAGGGTACAAGGGAGAGGCTGGTGTAACAGCTGCTCCCTATTCAAGAACAGAATGGAGGATGGACTCGATGTTTAAGCAGAGTTGCCCTAAGCCATGGCCTGGGCCACAGAGGTGAAATCTATGGAAGAGAGCGGGAGTTTGGGTGAAGGGGGCCAGCCCCACCAGTGCTGTCCTCAGCACCACACTAACTGAGCTCCCTCCAGCAGTGACCAAGTCTGCACCAGGCAGACTGGGTCTCCCAGACCAGTGGGAGAAGATACCCATCCCTACCCAGGGACAGCGAAGATGGTCAGAGTGGGGACAGAGGAAGTATAATCTGAGGGATCAGGGCTGTGATGATGGAGGCGCAGGAGGCTGAGGGGACCCAGAGAAGGCAACAGGCCCAGGCTGAAATGTCAGGAAAGTGATCTTAGAGGAGAACTGAGGCAACAAGGAAAAATGAGCCAAGTAAAGAAAGGGAATGGGGCTGGGCATGGTGGCTTACGCCTGTAATCCCAGCACTTTGGGAGCCCAAGGCGGGTGGATCACCTGAGGTCAGGAGTTTGAGATCAGCCTGGCCAACATGGCAAAACCCTGTCTCTACTAAAAATACAGAAATTAGCCAGGCGTGGCGGTGCATGTCTATAGTCCCAGCTACTCAGGAGGCTGAGGCACAATAATTGCTTGAATCGGAGAAGTGGAGGTTGCAGTCCGCCAAGATTATACCACTGCACTCCAGCCTGGGCAACAGAGTGAGACTCTGTTTCAAAAAAAAAAAAAAGTGAAAGAAAAGAATATAAAAGTCGAAAAATAGCATATACAGAAGCCATGGGGGTTATCTAGTGATCTAGCCCCCTGCTACTCAAAGTGCAGTCATTCATGGAACACAGCAGTAATAGCATTGTTACAGCTATCTAGTGCTACATAACAAACAGCCCCCAAACATTGTTGTTTCAAAACAGTGACAGTGTGCATTTTGCTCATCTCTGCTCCATGCGGTCTGAGGCTTCAGCTAGAATCACTGAAGGTGCATTTGCTCTCCTGTCTGGCAGCTGATGCTGGCTGAGGGCTGGGGGGCCTCTGTTTCTCTTCTTGTCTTGTCTCCATATGGGCTAGGTTGGGCTCCCAAGGAGCTTAGAGAATGGGTTCCAAGGGCATGTATCCTGAGAGGGAGCCAGTCAGAAGCCACATCGCCTTGTGTAACCCAGCCTCATCAGCCATGCAGGGTCACTCTCACCATGTTGATGCCATTGCAAAATCCTGATCAGGTTCAAAGGAAGGGGAAATAGCTGGGTGTGGTGGCTCACACCTGTAATCCCAGCACTTTGGGAGGCCAAGGCAGGCGGATCACCTGAGGTCGGGAGTTCGAGACCAGCCTGACCAACATGCAGAAACCCCATCTCTACTAAAAATACAAAATTAGCTGGGCGTGGTGGCACATGTCGGTCATCCCAGCTACTCGGGAGGCTGAGGTTGGAGAATCGCTTGAATCCAGGAGGCGGAGGTTGCGGTGAGCCGACATGGTGCCATTGCACTCCAGCCTGGGCAACAAGAGCAAAACTTCATCTCAAAAAAATAAATAAAGGAAGGGGAAATAGACTCCACCTTTTCATGGGCGAGTACAACGTTCTGGAGGAGCATGTGGGACAGGAAACACTGCTGAGATCATCAGTGGAAAACACAAGCTACCCCAGCAGCCGCTTGGTAGATGTGCTCACTCCCAGACCCATGCCAGACCAACCAAATCAGCTTCTGTGCATAAGAAGAGTTCCAGCTGCTGCCTTCGCAAATTAGGTTTGAGAAATACTGTTCTAAATCACAAATGTGACACGGCTTTGAGCAGGTGGAGCAGGGAAACAGTAATTACATTTAGAGAGCTCTCTCTGGCTGCCGAGTGGAGGTTGGATTAGAGGGCTCAAGAGTGGTGGTCCAGTAGAAAGAACCAAAAAAAAAAAAAAAAAAAAAATTGGATGAATTGAACATTATCAAAATTCCAAACCTGTGTATACATAAAAAAAAAAACCCTATTGAAAATAGATTGCCGGGCACTGTGGCTCACCCTTCCAGCACTTACGGAGACCGAGGCTGACAGATCACTTTGAGTCAGGGAGTTCAAGACCAACCTAGGCAACATGGCGAAACCTCGGCTCTACTAAAAAATACAAAAATTAGCTGGGTGCGATGGCAAGTGCCTGTAACCTCAGCTACTCAGGAGGCTGAAGTGGGAGGATTGCTTGAGCCTGGGAGGTCGAGTCTGCAGTGAGTCGAGATCATGCCACACTGCACTCCAGCCTGGGTGACAGAGTGAGACTGTCTCAATGAAAAAAAAAAAAAAAAAAAAGAGAGAGAGAGAAGAAAAGAAAGAAAAAGGCAACCTATACATTGGAGAAAATAGTTGCACAAATATATCTGATAAGGCTCTAATATCTAGAATATATAAGGAACCTTTACAACTCAACAATATAAAGAAAAATATTAATAGTTCAGTTACAAAATGGGCAAAGAACTTGAATAGCCATTTCCCCAAAGAAGATATACACGTTATTAAGTCAATAAGCAGATGAAAAGATGCTCAACATTTGTATCAGTAAGGATTCTCCAGAAAAACAGAATAAATTATATATATAATTATATGTATAATTTAAAGTATAATTTAATTTAATTATACGTATAATTTCGGTATATATACCAATAAGTTAGGTATCTATATAGTTTATTCTGTTTTTCTGGAGAACCCCATTTGTGTATTTAAATTGGCTCATGTAATTATGGAAGCTGAGAAGTCTCACGATCTGCCATTTGCAAGCTGGAAACTGGGAAAGTTGGTGGTGTATTCAGTTCAAGTTTCATAACCAGGAGGGCAAATATCCGAAGTCAGGAGAAGATGGATGTCTCAGCTCAAACAGAAACAAACTCGCCATTGTTTTCTCTTCTCTCTCTCTTTTTTTTTTTTTTTTTGAGACAGATTCTTGCTCTGTCGCCCAGGCTAGAGTGCAGTGGCGTGATCTTGGCTCACTGCAGCCTCTGCCTCCCGGGTTGCAGCGATTCTCGTGCCTCAGCCTCCCGAGTAGCTGGGATTACAGGGGTGCACCACCTGTCCGGCTAATTTTTTTGTAGTTTTTAGTAGAGAGGGGGTTTCACCATGTTGGCCAGGCTGGTCTTAAACTCCTGTCCTCGTGTGATCCACCCGCCTCGGCCTCCCAAAGTGCAGGAATTACAGGCGTGAGTCACAGTGCCCGGCCAGAAAATTTTAAACATTACCCGTGGGGCTTGGTTGTGCTTCTACTGGGCCCCAACCTGCTGTGATGCCCTATCTCCACAAGGTGGCGCCAAGACACACCGCTGCAGCCCCTCCAGCCAAGGCGAAGACCTTACACAGGGGTGGGACGGGACTGTGAGGTCCTTTGAGGAAGCCGGTCCCTATAGCGGGCGTCGTTGAGACAGGCTATTCCCACACAGGGGGCTCCTGTTGAGACAGAAACTCCAAGTTCTGGTGAGCAGGAGACAGGCAGTGTTATGGGCTGAGTAATCACTCCTAAAGCTACCCATGTCACAATCCCTGGAACCTGTGAATGGTAACTTTTATGGCAAAAGGGCTTTGCAGATGGGATGAAGTTAAGGATGTTGAGGTGGGGAAATTCTCCTGGGTTATGTGGGTGACCCTCAATGGAATCTCAAGTGTGCTTGCAAGAGAGACAGAGGGAGCCTTGAACACAGAGAAGGGGAGGATGTGATAACAGAAGTACGAGGGTGAGTGGTGTCAGGAAGGGGCTGGAGCAAGGGAGGCAGCAGCCTCTAGAAGGTGGAGAAGCAGCACAGATGTTCCCCTGAGGCCTCCAGGTCAGCACAACCCTGCCA